CCTTCGTAGGTATTATGTTTCTTACAACGCATCAACATTTCAAATACTTGGTGTAACACTCTCATTTCCCTTCGGCATTGTTGGGGGCCAGAGATAAGGGACGAAACGGGAACGGGGAAAACCTCGGAGGGGTCTTATCATGCACTGATTAAAAACAAACTCACCTAAACTAGGGTTGGGGTAACAATGATAGGGTAAAAACGTGTATTGGTATTTAGTATTTTGTAGGCTGGTTTAATTTTTTTATGCAAGTTATACAAAAATATACGTGCTTAGGTTATGAGTTAAAAATTTAAGATGATAAAATATGTGATTGTAAGTTGATATAATTGGAAATTAAGATGACTAGAAATATCGGGAACTTAATAAAAATAAATGTGGTAATATCCCTAAGAAGTGATTTACTAATTATACTTATAAATAATGACCGCGTCAAACTTAAAGCAGTATATATAAGATGAATAGAAGTAATAGCACATGTTTCATCATATAAAATAAGAGAGATAAAATCTACATCAACGGAGTACAGTAAACCATTGTAGTTTGATTAATCTCTATTGCTATTATATTCAGTAAAGAAAAAAAATGTATTTATCCTTGTCCTCTGAATTAGAAATTAATAAAAATGGAAAAGATATATAAAGTAAGAAATTAAATATATTAATATTATCATTTAATTAAATAGCGAATAATATTATTCATTTTCAATCGAACAAACTTACTCCGAGATCCCACAATTGGTTATAATAAGAATTCAGCAACATGTCTTTAATATTCACAGTGATTAATTACACTTTACTCACTTCTAAACGTCATTTATGTATTTTAGAAACCACTAAAACTTATTCGAAATACGAGACGACAGCGATGGGCGCGCAGTCAAGAGCAACGCACATCTTAGGGTAGGCGTACACCAACTAGTGGTCCTATGCATTCAGTGCAAGCAGACCACCGCGGCACCGGCTTGCCTCAAGTCCCTTGCATCGATCGCACTTTTTCCTGACGCACCTGAATGAGCAATGGGGTGGAAGGAGGAAGTTGTATTAGGGAAATAATTTCATTGCTGTATTTATTTAGTATCGCAATGCGCATGTCTAATGCATATCGCTTCGATATTAATTTTATTTCTTTGAAAATATATTTGAGTTAGTATCGATTTATTATATTTATGGCTACGGTGGTCTAGCAGTTTAGTCTTACTTCCGACGATCTGGTTCAATTCGTCGTATGATACATATATTTGTATTCATGAGCACGTTTATTAATTTTTAGATGAGTGATATGTATTTACAATAAATATATATTTCAATATTTCCCTAATGCCTGGCATGTACAAGCTCTATACTTAGCTTGGCACTGGATGACACTATGTGTGCCCAAGGTAGTTAATAATATTATTTAGTTGGATAAAAATGTATTGTATACAAATGTATTAAAAAAAATTAATATGTTATTTGAACATCGATGAAGTGCATTAATATACACCTACTATACTAATAATATTACATATTAGGGAAGTCTTAGCCAAAATATTGTATTAAAACTAAAGATGCTTATGAAATGTGAGAGACCAAATTTGTATGAAGAAAGACTTGCGAGACGTATCATCATTATTAGACAAGATTTGATTACATACCTACACACACACATATTGATATGATAGGATCCAGATAGGGATGTTAGGAGGTCTATGTTAAATACCTATTCTGTCACTTAAATAGTTAAATTGTATGCATAGGAATTATTTATATAAGACAATTATCGTTTGTTTTGTATTTACATCTACTGAAATAGAAAAATTGAATGTTCACAATATTTTACAAAATAGAAGTCGTTACTTAAAGAATACTGTATAAAATTTACAAGGTTAGGCTTAAAATGTATAAAGGTAACCTATAGTTAGGAAATATAAGGTATCATAAGAGTCATAAGCGAAATATACATATCCCATCTACATTGGCATCATACGAGAGAAGAGTATATCTGATAAAGGTCCTATAATTATATGCATGTACCGTATGTATAAATTTTATAAGTTATAAACTGCAAGAAATTCTTCAAATTATAGTGAAAGTCATTTCAAAATCCGTTGCATGGTTTAAAAGAAGCGGAGAAAAAAACGAACGAAGTCAGCAACTTTGCTTTGTGCTATTTATAAATTTCATAAAATTGAATCTATATTGACTTTTTTTGTTGTTATTTTTATAAATTAATACCGTTTTATCTAAGTTTGTTTAAAAATATTTTTTGTGTTACTCCTTTCAGCAGTTTACTTCAGCCATCAGTTCATGCGATGTGGGGAAGGTTTCAGTGCAAGTGGTGCTTTGGCGGGGTCGTTTCGACCCCCGCGTGGGGGCGGGAGGCCGTAGTAGGAACATCCTTCACCTCGGAGCTAGGTCAGGGTTAACAGTACTGGGGGCTCTGTGTACCGGGGGTGACGGTGAACCACCTTCGACCTTGGATGCGTGTGCTAATACACTAATGTGACGTTGCACCGAGCTAGCTATAGACATGATACGCTCATATATGTTGCTATTAAGGTATATATTACACTTTCAAATATATGTATACATATAATAGCATATTAATTCATAAAGATAGCGATGTATTTATAATATCATTATTAGATAGTTTTGGCATATATCCTGTTAGCAAATAAATAATTTAGTAATATAAAGTTTCTGTGAAACGTCATACGTCATAAACATTTATTATTCACGGACATTTTCGGATCATTTATGTCCATCAACAATGGACATAAATAATACGAGTATATCACGACAGTATTAATATATTATGATTAGTAAAACAATTCGAGATTTTTATTTGTTAATTTTATTACAGATGCATTCATATTGTAATTGTAACTTTGTAATGTCAGTACATTAATTGCATAGAATTTTTATTTTGTTTTGAATACTGTTTATTTAAAGCGAATTCAAATATGTGAATTCTAAAGTGTTAAGTAATCTATGTAGAGTCGTTAATCATAAAATCAATTATAATGGCGCGGTGGAAGATTTTCGTACTCGAAAATTAAGCGAGCGTCATAAAAACAACAAGTCGTCCGCGGACATGCGTAGCTAATATCCGGCTTTCCAATAGCCGTATTGCACATTCTAAAATGATGAGAACCTTATAACAAGAGCATTAAGGCAAATAATTCATTATCCAGATACGTTTCTGTTTGAAGATGAAATATACACGTTCGACATTGACTCGTGATCCGTTTTTCTTGGGTTGCGATTCGTGTGAACGATGCTATTATGCTTTGATGTTGTTGTGCGATGTTGTGAACTTTACAGTGTCGAGGTAAGGTTGAAATTCGTACGTGAATAGAGTGGGTGGTGGGTGGTAGTGAGTGGGTCGATATGTCCCAGGCGCGCCGCGATCGATAGAGGAGAGGGGAGCACGTTGAGACACCGTGCATGGCTCGCCGAGCCGCGCCGCGTGCCGACACACTAATACATGATATATTACATGTTTAAGTGTCTTTATTTGTTAAAACGAGGGGTCCTTGATTTTGATTCCCAGATTTTTTTCTTTTTTAGTAATTAGTAGTAAGCACTTAGTATACATAATAATTACTCTCCATGGTGACGGAGTAAGAAACATGCGTCACCACGCCAGCCCACCCCACGAATCACTAGGAAAACAAAGCACAATAGAACTAGTAGGAGGTATACAAGTAAAGGAGAAATCTGAATAAAAACCTATACCAAGCCGTATGGCCCGTATGGATCCAATTATAGCCCAACCGCCGTATAATTAGTAGACCTTATAAGCAATACAATAATAATAAAAAAGTAATAGTAATAATATTCTACCCATAAAGGTTTTCATCATAGGATGAGAGTAAGGATCTCTCATCCTATGATGAAACTTTATATACCCTGCCTCACTGCAAGGTTCAATACGATTATGATTTTTTATAGTGGTACTTTTTAATTACTCATTAGTCATTCATTTGCATTTCATTTGCACTACTAAAACAAAGATACAGACAGGTACATACATACAGGTAGGTAAATACATACCGCCAAATTCTGAATGTGTGGGTGGATGTAATATTATGTAATTTTTATGATAAATCGGTCGGTAGAATCCACATCTTTACAGACATAGGTACACATATGTGTATCCATTTGTTTCCATGTTAATGTTTCTAAAATATGTCATTATGCATTAAAACAAGATAACTGTAGTTAACAAATATATTGTAACTTTTTTAATAATTTATGGACTATGGACAACATCGAAATGAAGCTCCACAGAGTGAATAAGGGACTGTGAGACAGAGACTAATGGCGTCCATATATTTAAGGATTTATCAGTATTCAAGAGCTCAGTATTCTAGCGCTCTAGAATCTACTTACTTGCAATAATGGCCTCATCAACTTATTAGGTATCTGCGTAATTTATACCTTCTAATTACAGGTGCCCTATTTAAAATACATATTATTTTTTTAATTCGTATCTAATTATGTAGCTGTAAGTAAGTGTAATTTTTAAACAATTCATAAAATATTCCCTCTGTCTTCTAAAGTTCTATACTATCATATTAGTCAAATCATAGGTATATAGGTAAATTATCTATCCACGACATAACAAAGTATCGTAATAAATCAATGTGTCATTATTTATTTTCATCTTTCTATCGTTATCTTTTCTTAGTTTTCATAGTTTTTTATTGTTGAAAGAAGTAACTAGTACACGATACATACACTAGTGAAATGGAAAAAAAAATATTCATTTTTCTTGGGCCGTAAAGTAATTACAATTTATGTTGTTTATAATATAACGGTGGAGAATTAGACTGACATATGGTAAATTTCCTACATTTCTAATATGAATATTATTTATTGGTAATCTAATTACATAAGATAAACAATATTTTCTACTATATTGTATATCGAATGTAATTTAAAATTAATTTAATTATTTTGGTATTATCTCTAAAAATGAGATATTTTTTATATAATTCTAGTAATTAATCGGTAGAGTTTGTCATAAATAACCGAAGTAATTGTTTTTGTCGTCCCGTATCTATTGATCGAGTGTAGATAACTAAACAATATCCTACGATATTATTTAATATAACTAGGTATTATAATCTATATGTAATTTTCATTAAATCTATAACAAAATATTTATACATATGCATATATAATAATAATATTACTTACACGATATGTATGTATGAATGTTCAACAATATAATTACGTATGAGATTTTTATTTCTTAAGTAAATATTAAAATTGAAAATAATCGTCAATATTTTATTAAAAATTTTAAAAATACATTTACTTTACTGTTATTGAATGATTAAAAGAAATGGCGCAGAATTCACTATTGTTACGTATTTATTTATTCGGACGGGACTATTTTATTCCATAAAGTGTCCCGCAAAATATATAAAAAACACATTGCATAAATATCTTCAGTTTTGTGGAATCGACTTCATAGTCTATTACTTTATATTAAAGTTGCTGAACTGAAAATGTAGTCTAGATTTATGTTCGCTCGTTAAACTCAAGCAACAGTGCATTTATTATTCTCTTCGTGAACTTACTTAAATAAAAGATTATATTATTTTGCTTGTTACATTGCATAAAAGAGATGTTCATAGCGTGCCTACTATACATAGTCAAAATGTTATTACACTTAATACAGAAGATGTCTATTTAAAAGGGTATTTGCTTTAATTATTACATTCAATTTAGTGTATTCTATGTACTATGTCCTCCACGTTATTGTATGAAATTCCTCGAACCATTTTAATAAGAACAAGCAGTTCAATAACAACATTAAATTACATCTTGAAACCACAATGTACTTTCAACAAGTTGTGTATTTTTTTACTATAAATGTTGCGTTTTGTGCCATTGTTGCAGTAAACTTAATCTAATAGTCTTAGTTAAGACTTTCTTACTGTAGTATTGCTAAATATATCGTAAATTCATAAATAAGCTACATTTCAGTGTCTTCTATGGCTATTACTTGTACCCTGTATTAAATTGTAGATAATAAAGAAGATATAATTAAAGACATTTTTATATATATCTTGATTTTTTAAAATCGTAGTCATAGTTTAGACATGGTGATATGGTGACAATAAATTAAATTAAAACGTACCTGAAAGTTTATAGTAGAAGTGACGATCCTCATAGACTCTGCATAATTCCGTAACACAGAATCTGTGCTGAGGCAACTTTGACGCCATTCGTACAGCTGTTCCAGTCGAGTGACGCATCGCTCACAGATCTTCTTCGGCAAGAAATCGTCCTTCGAGATCTGCTGGAGAAGATATTGAACGAAACTGGTTAGACTGTCACATACAGGAAGAGCGGGGTGAAAAACAATAAGGATGAAATTATTTGTAGCTATTTGCAGGAAGATGTACCTATATTCAGTTTATACAAGGATTATAGATTACACTATCAGAATACAACTTTTGTTTGTTTATTGCAGTAGGTTACAGCGCTTACATTGACATATAATAAGAGAAAAGAAAGAAACCAAAATGAAATCTTTATAGCGTACTATTTCATGCGTAATTTGGGATAAGTGTAAAAGCAAAAGAAAATTGGAAAGTGTACAGATATTATGTAGATCAAGGTCGGAAAATATATATATTAATTGTATAAAATTCTGTTTTCGTCATCATTTCTGACAAAATATTACGCTTTTTATCTATCAGAAATACACCGATGGTACTTAATCCGGTACATTATGAGATAAATATAAAAATTGTTAAAAAAAAATGTAATGTACAAAACGTAAAATAAAATATTAACGGTCTTTTAATCTAATAAAAGAATTAATATGGCTGCCACCAACGCATATTCTACAGTAACTGTAGAACTTACATAATAAAAGTTTATTATGTTTATGTTATGGTTCTAATTTTATGTATAAAGTTTATTACACTTAACAGTCAGGAGTAGGTTACAACTAAGTTGCATGTTTATGTGTTTGGCATTCTACAATGGTAATCACCGAGTTTAAAGCTGGTATAAAATAAATCTATGTTATACACGTACTTTATGTACCTAACTCATGTTGCAGGCTTATATTAAATAACCTATTGTTTGATCAGCAAATAGTTCGAAGATTAGAAATTTTGGTATACACACAAAAGAAGCTAAATGTACGGAATACGTCAAAATATCCGAAATCGTTTTGCATTCTTGCATGAGACGAGTCTATCAATAGATAAGTCGAGAAATGTATATTTGGTATATGGTTTTCGTTGCTTACCCCATAAAATAGATTTTACTGAATACTCATATTGGGTGTATATATGTCTGTGTCCACACATATGTCTACCCACATTAAAGACTATTTGAATTAGGATGACTGGATACAGATCCAGTAATGACTCGACTAAACATAACTTCACGGAAGACATGAAGTTTTGACAAGTGTCATATACATTGAAAATGCACGATACATTTTTTATATTTCCATAATTTCCCACGTGATTAGAAGCTATCGTAAGAGAGTCATACGGACAATGTCGCTATATTTAGATGTAATTTATCTATAAAAATAAAGGCATAATTAATGAAATTATTGGCATATCAAAACAACAATAGTACCTAGTAAAAGTTAATGAGAAACTCTTTTGAAGCTGAATATTATAAAAATGAAAAGAAATCAATTTCATAAATATACCTATGTAATAACTCTTGATAATGGGTGACTTAATTTTTTTTGCACAGTTGTTCCGTATGACGTCTCGTGGGTTAAATTCACATTTTTTCCCATGTTTCCCGCGGTAATCTATCACGTTGACCCACTTTTGCACCAATAGCTATGGGGTCGACGCTCCACGCACAGTTCTTTGCACTTTACACAAATGGCGCAAAGGTCCAATACACAACAATTATAACAAACATAAATGTTAATATTTTTATGGTCATTATGCGTAGAAATATACACAGTAATTTTAAAATCGTATAATTTTCTTGTATGTCTTACCTATAAAGATAAATAAAAAAGATGTAGCGAAAAAGGAAGTAGAAACAGAATTCAATAGAAGTAGATCATGTTTTACTTACATTTTTATTTTAATAATAATTATAAAACAATTAAATTAATAATAACGCGAAATAAATATTTCTAATAAATGATAGATTATGTAAATATGGAACATTCTTAGGAAATAATTTTGTTTCTATATTTTGTTACTTTCTATAACATATGGAATTCGAATCGAAGAATCTAGGAATGACTAATACAATATGACTCATTGTTATTGTTATTATAATTCTTAGGTAATTCATAAAATTTTGGAAAGGTATTTTACCTTTCCAAAAACTCCATTGCAAAATTAATAAAGAAATAATTCTGTAGATAGATAAATGTCAAAAAAAATCAACAGGTATCGTGATTTGGAGCTCATTATCAAATTCCTTGTTGTTGTCGTAGCACGAACGCGCAGGCGTCTACGGGCTACGAAACGCGTCTGCTACGACACCCTTATATTGCAGTTTTCTTATTTTCTAGCCTACAAGGGTCTATTTTTATAAGTTTTTAAATTGCTCTGGATGGAATGTGGTATACTAATTAGTAAATAAGTAAACTAATACTGAGACAAATCGATTAGTATTAGCGGAATATAAATCAAGGACAAATGAAAGTCGATCGTTAACAAAGAACTCACCATAGTCGGCAGACACGTCCTCAACTTGAAGAGTATCTGCCTCTGCTCCGACTCTTTGTCGAATATGTGGAGCCGCGGACCACTCTTCAGGGAGCACAGCCGACATAGGTCGGTGAACGCCGTGAAGTTGAGGTCCTCCGGCTCAGTCATGGCGAAGCACCTGATGAGGAGGTCAAGGAGGCAAGAGTTGTCCATGTATACGGCGGTGGTTCTCGGGTGGCGGGAGACAGGGTCAACGCATGTCGCGGGTGCAAGCGTCGGGGAGGCGTCGCGCCGGCACTGCGTCCGGGGGGCACTGGGGCCGGCAGCGCGCGCCACCCGACGCCCCTGCACCCTCGCCCCCTCGCCCCCTCGCCGCGCCGCACGCAGCCCCCGTCGCCCACAAGCCCGGGTGGGCCCAGCCGGAAAATGCGTGGTTTTCCTTGATTGCCTATGCAATTGATTATGATGTCTTTATGTATTTTCACGACGATGTTTCCGGATAATAATTGTGTTATAATAAAATGTTATTATATAAACATTTTCATTGATTTAATCAATGTAATAACAAGTAACATGTTTAGTATTGAATGGGATGTAGTCGATCTAGTAATAAAATAATAACTACTACCTACTATTATCCAGGTAGAACAGTATTCGAGAATGCTGTAGAGCTTCCAGTTCCAATGGTGCTAGGATATTTGAGTAATACAGTATTTGTGCAAATCGGCCACGTACAACGATAGATGTCTATTTCATCATAATGGTTATGTTTATATCCAGTAACCTTAATTGATCAGATTTACTATTTTAGTACCTAATTGTTTATACTATAATAATAAAAATAATAAGCACTATGGATTACTAGTATTACCTATAAACAAACTTTAGTAGTCTTATTCTTAGTTACGATTAATATAAATAGATTCGTATAAAACGTAAAATAATATTCTATAGTTATTAAATAATCTATAGGTGTATATTTAGGAGAGTTAAAACTTTTTTAATTACATACATTAACAACCTGCCTTGAAACTTTCACCTTCAAATGTCAAACAAACATCAGTACAAATATATAAACATAATAGGTATTAGTAGATACATTTTGTATATTAGTAAATGAAATTAAAATGTCTGTTGCGTCGTCAGATTCTGAAGCTGAATATCACGCTTACTCTGAACGGACATTGGCAGTGATCAAACCAGAGGCTTTCGAAGACGCTGAAGCTATTGAGAATCACATACGAGCTAATGGATTCACTATACTAGCGGTTAGTGTAAAAACAATATAGATTTTTTTATATAATAGACAAATTAACTCATTATCATCATCTGCTTCTTCCTTATCCCATTTATTTGGGGTCGGCGTAATATGTTTTTCTCTTCCATTCATCACTGTTCGCAGTCATCCCGTTACTTACTCCTTTTCTCACCATATCATCTTTCACATAGTCCATCCATCTCTTTTTCGGTCTTCCTCTACCCTTATAACCATCCACATTCATATGTAACACCGTCCTTAGGATATGATCGACAAATGAACTGTGAGTTTCTTGTTCCGTGTTAGATCCGTATCAATTGATATAACTCATCATATCTCATGTGCAATTGAATAGTACTATATTGAGCTAGCTATTCAGCTGCGTTGACATATATTAAAATGGTCCCTTTACTTCTATAAATTGGAAATATTTAAGTTAGTAAAAATAGTTTAGTGTTCGATAAATATATAAAGAATAATACGACAAAATTGAAAATTCAGCCTACATTTAAATGCATTCTGTTATGACAATATAAGAATACAAAATCACTACTCGTACACTATCTCAAAAAAATCATTTAGAGGTAACTATCTGTATGAAATAACTCAAAAATAAAGCTACACGTGTAAAGAAAAACCAATTATTTTTTGTTGTATGACATGCATCCTGTAAAATGCATCGGCTAGTCTAGTTACTGCAACATCCTAACAAACATGAACAAAAAAACCTAGTACCTACAATGCGTAGGTACTAGGTTTTTTTGTTCATAATGGAATAAATCCTAAGACCAAAAATTAGATTTCAAAATTAAAATACACTCTTTCAATCACAACGGCAAACAATAAAAGAAAAAAATGTAGTTCTTCATGGGCGTCCCTGTTCCTAGTTAGTACACGCAGTTCCCCCCATGTCTGCGGGAGGCTGCCTCCTTTTCTTTCATGAACCTCAGTGCCAGTCTTATATATGTATATTTGTACCACGCAATATGATGTGAGAAATTGGGAATCTTATACCTATATAAATATAGTATACATAATGATATCGTACTTGTGTAGTGCTTACATTTATTTTCTGTGACATATTCCATATGAAAGTTAAGTCGAGACATCGCCCCATTACACGATCGGGCTCACATAAATTTAATGGTTTCATATAACATTATACGATCAGTAACCTATCATTTATGTTTGTATAAAAGAGTACTTATTGGCTGTATAAAATATATTACATTTTACATAAATGAATGTTGTAAAGCTAAAACAATTTGTATTATATTAAAGACTACAAATCATTTCAGTCGTGGTACTATTGTGTACCAATAGATTTTGGCAGTGCCCTTGTTCTAATGCTTAGGTACTATTTTCATATCTTTATGCTAAGTAAGCTAATATTTCTATGACCCAAGGTGAAAACAGCATCACAATAAAAATGTTTTCATAATAACTACTATGTTCTGAAAATTAATGATTCTTGAATAATATATTAATTATTCGACTTAGGTATTGAATATTTTATTATCTGTCGATATGATTTTGGGACTATATAAAGCGGGGAAGTGGTACGCATCTAGCGTTGTCCAGCAACGAGAGGGTTGATATGCAAAACTGAGCTAACGGGAACAGGCGAGGGGTGTGCATTCATTATTCTGCGTCACATGCAACGCTTGTTATACTAGGGCTGCCTACAACCTATGAATTATTACGACATTTAATGTTAAAAATATTTTGAATAATAATATTTTATGATATTTTTTAAGAGAATAGTAGACAAGCATGTGATGACGATAACCGATTAACACGATCTTGATCAACTCGTTTTTCTTTTTGCCGACTTAAGAGTCAGCGTAATATTAATTAGAAGTGTTGGTTAAGACCAACACTTCTTATTAATATTATAAACGCGAAAGTTTGTGACTATAGATGGATGTTTGTTAGGATGTTGTTTTATGCAAAAACTACTAACGGATTATGATGAAACTTTACCGTAATATAGCTATACGTCAGAAAGACATAGGCTATATTTTTCACGCGGGTGAAACCGCGGGCACAGTAAGTTAAAAATAGAGTAATTAGATTAGTAGTAAGTCATATTATTCACAGTAATGATAATAAGTCATATTATCATTACTGTGAAGTATATTCACAATATTCAAACCAAAACAGATTTACGGTGTTTTTGCAGCAAAAAATAGGTGAAATATATATTTCACAAATTTTTTTACTTTAGTCTATTAAATTAAATTAAATTATTGCATAACATCGTTATCTACAAGCGATCTTGCTATATATACCATACAACTAAAAAAATATTAGTATTTGTCTCTCCCTTTTCTATATTCATTTATAAATGACAATATTTAATACAAAATCGTGACAACCCTGACACAAATAGAAATAGTCACTCGAGCACCCCAGCTCGTAGCGGTCACTGCTGTTATCTATAGAAAGAAACCATATAAAAAGTAATTAGGTACGCACTTCAAGTGACGTTTAGGGGCTACGCGTGGCTACGCTGCCAGAGGATACGGCATTGTTTTATGAAATTAAAAAAATATTCTTTAAATTAATTTTAAAGTCCACACTAAACTTGTATGATTTATATTTGATTATCTTAACATTTACTGACTTCAAGTGTCTACTGTGACTGTCAGAAGCAAAATTCAAAAGCTGATAATATAATAATAGTTACTTAACCCAGGAGTACAGTAACAGTCACACATCGCCGTCGTGTCCCGCTACGCCTATCTAAGCTAATCTTGTACTATGGGTACTAAACTGTTTAAATATTGAAATACAAAATATAAGAAAAACATAAACCAATACAAATAATTATGTTTATTGATACCAATGTTTGTATTGGATAAAAATCGAAGTCGCCATTATCAGAGGTGAGCCGGAATCGCTACACCATTAGCTAGATTCAATTTAGAAACGTCATTTATGTAGGTAGATGTCTAAAACATCTATTCAGCTTAGCAGTACCATAGCCCATATCCACGACATTGCTTATAGAAAGAACCGGTAAAGGTAGGTACGTTAAATTTTATGCTATCTTTGCATCATAAAAAACAAATAACATGGATTTTCTAGAAACGGCAAGTTCACCTAACTCCGGAGCAGGCCGCGGAACTTTACAGAGGTCACTACGGTCGCCATCACTTCCCACACTTGGTGGCTCACATGTCGAGCGGACCTATCGTAGCGTTAGTGCTTGCAACCAAAAATTGTATACAAAAATGGCGCAACCTGATGGGACCAGCCAGGTGATGCTTTCCCTTTTTAACTTGGCGTTAACCGATGTTTCGCACAACTTGCAATACCAGTAAAAATAAATATCCGACATTCTGAATGATTTTATATGAAAATTCGCTTGTAGTTAGCGAAAATATGAATCAGCAGTTTGCATATTATAAGACTACCACTAATAATTTTACGTCTCATTTATACTATATTGCAAACTTTAAAATTCTTTTGTTACATATCTAAGTATGTAGTATGAATAACTTAATAACTAAATTCCAGGTCGTTACAAGAATCATACAGAAATATTGATCTAATTATATTTTTTAAAATTGACAAGTATTGGAACCTAGCACAGACTACGTTATGAGTCTTTATAAGCGTCCTTCTATTCACAGAGTGATTGAAGCACAAGCGTATTGGCCCGACAGTCTACGGGCATGCTACGGGCGCCGCACTAAGTACGGAGACTACTTTAATGGTTTGCATGGAAGTGAAAACCATGCTGAGGCGTTGCGGGAGATACACTTCTTTTTTCCCACAAGTATGTGCAAAAATTCATTTTAGGCACACATTGTCCAACCTGAAAACCTTTTTTCCTATGTTTACTTCAGTCTTATGTTTTAAGATTTAAGTGAGCAATCTTCTTGTAATAAAATTTTACTGTCACAATATTAGTTACCATACTTCTACGATACGGCTTGACCGATTTTTATGAAATAGGTATATCCATATTCAGTAGGCCTGAGAATCAACTATTATCTATTTTTCATACCCTTAAGTGATAAGGGTTGTCCACCCCTAACTTTTTTCTATTTGGACTATTTATATTTAGTTTTATAACATGGCATTAAAAATATATACATCCCAAAATTTTTATTTTAACCTTCTATCACCAACCCCTGCTTTTTTATATTAGTACTTCAATTTGTATGGCAAAACAACGTTTACTGGGTCAGCACTAGCTGACCCAGTAAACGTTATATATATTCTAAATTTCCTGTAACTTACATATTCAAACATACCTTGTTTATTCACAGTGGTGATGGGACCAGTACTTCGTCAGTGGCAAGTTAATGACTATATTCAAAAGCATATAACGAGGACACTATTGCCGGCGTTGACAAACCTTGCTCATGAATGTCCGGCGGAGCCAATACTTTGGTTAGCCGAGTACTTACAGAGACACAACCCTAACGAGCCAGAGTTGGCGCCACAGCCATCTGATCATCGGGAAGACAGACGTTGTCACACTCCGCTGGCTTCCGACGAGTCCCTAACAAAATAATATTAGATTCCAGAACACAGAACAGAGAACAAAATTACATCTCTATTCTATATTTTAAAATCTTACTAATACCTAGGTACCTATTATAAACGCGAAAGTTTGTGAATATAGATTAATGGACGTTTGTTACTCTTTCACGCAAAACTACTGAATGGACTTTAATGAAAGCTGCATCAGAATAACACGCGATTAAAGCCGCGGGAACAGCTAGTATATAATAGTCATAAAACAAAGTAATTGGTATTATTTATGATTTTCATAATTGTTTTATTTTTATCATTGTCATTTCAGTTAGGTTTCTATTGAGCCATGATGAACATAGCTTACGATTATATCTATGCTGAATATTTTCAGTACCTACAGAGGTAGGTAGTGCAGGGCAGAAATGGTACTGGATATGTAGGTATAAATAAACATGGTGTTTGCTGAAACTTGCAATGCAAATACTACTAGACTAGGAACTTTACATAGTTTGCACTTAATGTAGTGATTACTTGCACTGTAGTGTCTACACACTGAGCAAGTAGTGATTCTACGCGCGACAATATTTTAAAATTTTTGGCGCCAAATATTCTTCTTATTCTAGAATTGGTCAAAGCAAAACATCAGTCATTTTAATTATAGATTAAAAAATAATATTTGGCGCCCAATGAGTTTGTTGGTGTGGTACCTATACGCAATGAATGCATATTCTGGAAAATTCATTTATGTCTGTGTTTAATGCTAATTATTGAATATAGTAATGAGTTCGGTGAGTGATTCGGCATACCTTTAGCCACGGGAATCGGAATTCTAAGCCATCTGCAATATTTAATCTCCTACAGAGAATCATAAATGTTTATGCACTTTATTTAACTTTTGACAATAAGAAATAAAATACAATATTCTTAAAATAAAACTCTTTAATTAAATTTTGTAGGTATATAAAAGGTATAAAAATGTAAGTATTCTATTACAACAATTTTTTATTTTTATAAATTATATTTTTTATTGATTAAAAATTACTACAAAAGCCACTCTTCTTACAGAAGTTTTTCTCGGTCCAATCTTCGATAACTTCGATTACCAAGTTGCCGTATGTCTCCACAATGTTGTTGCACTGTAATTTTAATAGACATTAAGACGGTAGATATATATTTTTCAATAACTGATGTGGTAAATAAGCATATTGTCCCACCTAATGGCAAGTAGTAACTGTCGCCCATGTATATGACCTTAGTACTCGTGAACTATACTTTCGTAGCCTGTAATTTCACTGCAATGTCTCACCGTTCAACCGAAACACAACACAACCCAGTAAGACAGATCCCCGCAGATAACTTTATACAAAGTCAACCTATGTATAAGTATTTAATAGTTGCAAAGTAAAAAAATATTTATTTACATTCACTTCCTACCTCTTATGTTTTTTTTTATTATATATTTACTATTCATACCGCCCCGTTCATCTAGCTACTTCTATATACAAGAATTAGCAAAAAAGTGAACTGGTACCTACATTTTTTATGTTATTTAAAAAAAATGACTAGTAGTAATAAATATAAATTTATTTATTTGCAAACATGCAAGCAAACATGGTACAGTTTCGGATCTTACTGACTAATAAAAGTATATGACATGCAGCACCCCGTAGAGGTATGCAAATATTGAAATGAAATCATAGTCAAATTAATATAAAATTGTCACTACATTATGAATACCCACAAATACATTTAAATATTTATATTAATTAATTAATGTCAGTACTTATAGTTATTAATAAAAAAATATATAATGTCATCCACTTTGCATGTAAAATAACTTTGAGTAAAAACACTTACTGATACAGCTATTTCATTAATTTCTCTTTGAACCATTTTAAACAGATTTGTAACTGTATTAGGTGTATCTATTATTATATATATATTTATGCAACAGGTATAACTATTACTGTGATACGTGTTCTCATTTTTGGTAACACAAGTTTTCCAGGATCTATAATACTTACTATTCTAATAGTAGACACTTACTTTATCAAAATAAGCTACAGGCAGCCGTTTGCAAGTGTTTCTTAAAAAGTTTAATATCGCGTGTTTCTGATTCTCGGTATCGATTATTTTCTTTGCTGCCCTCATTAGCAGCTTGCATATTAAACAATTCACACTGGCCGCTGTAGAGAAAAATAGTTTTTTTATATAGGTAACATTATATTTAGCCTCTTTCTATGAAGCTCAGTTTCAACCAAACGATTAATTTAAAAGAAATAAAGGACAAGCAACTAATAATTTTCTCCCTATTTCTTCTGAATTGCTAAGCGTTCATTATAATTTTTGTTCATCTTGCTCGGCGGCCATATATTTAAAATCCTTCAAGAACTAAATTATCAGATTCAAAAATCATTTATTCATGTAGAACATTTTAGCCGCTTATGAACGTAAAATTTTTTACATTATAATTTTATTTTTCTTCCCTACCGTCCAGTTCGGTATATAGATCCAATTGAGAAGAACTGGCAAGAAACTCAATTGAATTACTTTTTTTTTTAAAAAGCCAGTTCATTTAGAATGCATATTTATATACATAGGTGTCTATGTCTAACATTAAATGAAAATCCAGTGCATGAACAACTATTGCCTTGCACACTCGTCATTCAAGTAACATTTTAGTGAATAATAGGCTTTGCTCAGTAAATATGATTTAATAGATGTTTTGAATTTATTTAAGGGATTTATTTAATAATTCCAATATATCCTTTATCAAACGCTAAAACAGTATTTCAAGATTATACTATTACAATCTTCAGGCGTTTAAACTGGATTGAACATTATAGGTACCTTCAAATCTCTCGAAATTTTCAATAACTGCAGTTGACACATTACAATGGTTTAAACTGTGACACACTTGTGTTGAATCCATCTTGTTGACCAACATATCAGTGAGATGATCAGCAAACTTGAACATTAACTTGTCACATTCATGCTGAAGATATTTCGGTGCATCCATACAGGTGCTCTGAACCAATTCATTAATTTTCTCCTGTAACGACAGATAATGTCAGTTCAAAAACATAAAATTACAACACCATTATTTAGTGCCAGTGAAGTTCGAATCTTTACTATTATTGTAAATGCCAAAGAAAAAAAGAAAAAGTACAAAACCTACGCACCGGCAGTGATAAACAATGTATCATGCCGGATAATACACGTCAAAAATAAGACGTTGATTCTTATACAAGAGGAAAGGGAAGAAAGTGCTTTTTCCAAAGTAGGGAGGCTCCTGGAGGAGCTAACAAAACTAGTAAGCGAGGGCCGATCCATCCCCAGGATCATCAGTGTAGATGCAATGGTGATCGCGTATGAAAAGGCCGAGACCAAACACAGGATCGGATGCATTGACTCGTCGGGACATCACCAATTAGTGGTGTATGAAGACAAAGGGGAAAACCTCCACTTTATGAGGAGCAGTGCGCCTGGTTCGTGCAAGGAGAAATCTCGGACGGACGGGCAAAGCGACCCGGCCGATGGGGCGGGGTGTGCGAGTGGATCGGAGATCCTGCAGCAGAAAGCAGTGAACAGAGAACAGCAACATCGGGAAGCGAAGAGGGAGCAGGAAATCGACGGAGCTATAACATCAGAGAGACGAATGGAGGCTCTAACTAGAACATTGGGCGCGGCAGCTATGTCGGTGTCAAAGAGGGCCGGAGGGGCTATCCGTAAACATATAGGGATAACACGCCAAGAGGAAGCCATAGAATGGGCACTGAGACCTGCCGCGAAGAAACCCAAGCGGCAGTACAAGGATCCAACCAAGGCAGATCTGGGACTGGTGGACCCGCCTCGTCTCCGTCCAGTGAGGAACCCGAAGGATCATATTATCAACGCCTTCCTGGAGTATCGAGCGATAGTCGTGGCAACACATACCCTGCACAAAAATACCTGTGCTAAATTAATAAAAAAATACAAGAAGGGTGGTGATGATGCGATTGTCGACGAACTGGACAGGGAGGACGCCGCCTTGTATGACAACAACACACAGACCACAATGTTAGGTGCATATACTGGTAAATACATGGCGGCATACTGCGAGTCCGTGGGGTTCGTCACGCTGGACGCGGAGGAGACTAGGAAAACCGGGAAGCCGAGTTTCCGCGCACCCCCACAAGATAATATCCTGTTGGTTGCGGCATTCACAAGGATTATGTTGGACGACAGGATCCTGAGCCAAGCTGATGCGAGGTGCAGGGACTTGACCGGGGACATATCCTTTGAAGCGTGGAACATCCCAAATATCGAGTGGATAAACGGAGTTCCGGGATGCGGGAAGACTACGTAGATCATCAACAACTACGACCACAAAAAGGACATGATTGTCACAACCACCGTGGAAGCGGCCAAGGATCTAAGGAACAAGCTGGAAGCCAAGACAACGAAAAACACAGGAGAAAGGGTGAGAACAATGGCCTCTTTGTTGGTTAACGGCAAAAGGGACAATACAAATGTGTCCCGCATCCTAGTGGATGAAGCCCTTATGAACCACTTTGGGGCCATAGTGCTAGCAGCAGAAATGGCCAAAGCAAAAGATGTCCTGCTTATTGGCGACGTAAATCAACTCCCCTTTATAGATAGGCATAACCTATTTGAAATTACCTACGAGCGACCTAACAAATCAGCAGGTATTACTAGGGAGTTTCTATGTACTCACAGAAACCCCTTGGATGTAGCGTATGCCCTGAGAGAAGTATACAACGGGATATACTCGACCAACCTCCGGATTAGGTCGCTGAGGCTTATGGAATACGACAGCAAAGTCATACCATCGGACCAAAGCAGGACTCTATACCTGGTTCATACCCAAGCGGAGAAAGCAAAGCTAATATCCGAGGGATATGGAATGGACGAGGAGTCTAAAGTGCTGAATTCATGAGGCCCAGGGACTGACATCGGAGAGGGTTATTATCATCAATACTAGAAGTAAACCCTTGGAAGTGCATGGCAGCTACTCTCATGCCGTGGTAGCCATCACCAGACACACAGGCGACTGCGTATATTATACGAGAAATCGAGAAGACGCAGTTGCTCGTTTTATACAAGAGGCCGAAGGCGCGACTCACTCGGACATTCGTGAGTACTCACTGCAGATGGCGATTAAAAATAGAGACAGGGCGATCGTTGATGCGCTGATTGCGCTAAAATAATCAGCACATAGAAAACCAGAACAGCTGATGCATCGTCGGGGCGCTTTGGACTGGAAAGGCCGGAACATGCTCGCTAAAAGTATAAAAAATAAAAGAAAAAAAAGGAAGGAAAAAAAAAAGAAAGAAAAAAGGGGAAAGGGAAGTGTAAAAGGGAAAAAAAAAATTGCCGAATTACGACAAAAAGTGAACTGTGAAATTAAACAATCAATAATTAAACAAAACCTGGACTATAACAAATAGTGAACTTTGAAAATAGTGTTAGAATAAGATTTCATATAATTGTATATGCAGTGTAAGAATTCATAATGTGTATTGTTACATTATGAATTCTTACATTGCACAATGTAATGAAAACTGTGAAATTAGTAGTAGTGTAAGATTTATATAATTGTATATGCATATTGATAAATCTAATCCTCCAAATAAAGATGGGTGACACTGCATGTTGTCAACTCACCCGGCCGGCCAGCGGTGGTTCTGGGCCAGACGGATAAGGTCTGCCTCGGTGTCACTGTTAGGCAAATTGTAACATCTCGGCTGGAGTTGTACAAAAATGGAAATTAAATAAATATTATAATATTAAAGTAAATTAAAAAAGGCACGGACGAATATGTCTGTGGAAAAATGTATTTAAATATAAAAAAAAAAAAATGCCAAAGTAACACTGTTTGTGTGTCGCGTTTTCACGCCAAAACTACTAAACTGATTTAAATGAAATTTGGTACACAGATAGTCTGACCCTGAGAAAGGACACAGGTTACTTTGAATGCGAAAAAGGGTTGAAAAGGGAGACGTAAAGTTGTATGGAAGTATCGTAATTTTTAAAGCTTGAAACTTATTTCTTAAGCTGTTGATAAAATATAAAATAATACCTATGATAAAGTTTGTCAAAATATTACCCTTAAAGGGGTAAAAAAAATAGGGGATGGAAGATTGCATGGAAATTCGTCATTCGTCGTCTATTCCACGGGGATGAAGTAGATGAAGCAAATAATGCATATAACAAATGTTCATTAGATAAAACTACACAGTATGCTTTTCAATAAATTTGAAGACATATGCACTGTCAAAATTTTACTATAGTTGTATGATCATGTACGTACCACTTCAATGTTTTGCATAGTTCTTTCAATCGTCGTCATCACCTTCTTGCACATTCCACAGGCTTCTTTGGATTGTCGTACTTGTGTCGATATATAGAATATTTTGTACAACTCTGTTACATAGAAAACAAACATTACAATAATAAAGCAAGACATGCACAGCGCCAACTAGTAGGTAACTGACGAAGCAACAGTCCTAAACAACTTAAATACCTTTTGTATATATAAAGAAATAAAAGATATACATTTACTTTTCAGTTTTAGCTGGCATAATAATAAATAACTCTGGACAATTAACACAGCCACATCGAGTCCCACTAAGTAAACAGAGTGTTGTGTTATGATCACTAGTTACTACTGATAATAAATACTAACATATTTTTTTTAAATACATACATAATATACATAGAATAGAATAGAATAGAATAGAAAATCATTTATTCAAATAAACTTACATTGAAGCACTTTTGAATAGTCATTACATTTTTTTTAATCTACCGCTCGTTCGGAAAGCTGTCTCATCACAAGAAGAACGAGCAAGAAACTTGCGTGTTGCTCTTTTAAATAATTTTATTATTACTTTACATTTTTAAGTTTAAGTGTGTGAATACAAACCACCAATTAGCACTAATTCAATTAAATACTCAAAAAGAAAAAATATTGAATACATAACCAACTGGTTAAACAATTAATAAGAGGAAATCAGTCATAGTGATTAGAGCAGACCAGTCCCTACAAGCAGCACCCGTTCACGAGTATTGCGGATGAGCCAGCCATCACTGCGCTCGACCATATTTTAGGGAGTCCAATGACCCGGCCCACCACGCCGCCACAAGTATGGACATTTTAGTGAGCATGACTACTCAAAACACTAGACCACGTCAAAGCTACTCACAATTGCCATCTGATAGTTATAGTATTCACATTTTACATAAGAATGCATGCGGCAATTAATACAAAAACCGCTACGCTTTCATATTTCTAAAATCAATCAATTAAATCAAGAAAGCAATGAATAGAAAACACCCAGACCGATACAAATGATACTCATGAATACAAATGTTTACACCGTGCTAGGAATCGAACCCGCGACCATATACATACAGATATAACCATGATACAGTTTCTTTTATTATTAAATATTGCAACAAAAGTTAAAGCAAAATTTAAAAGTACATAAAATAACTGTTTATCATGCGATCTATCATACTAATATTATACCTAATTACGAAAATTTGTCTGACTGCTTTGTCCTATTTAACTTCTGACGACCAAACAGCTAAACAGATCTTAATTATATTTTATGTGAAAATAGACAACAACATACTGGATCACGAGAACGGACAACATTTATCTCACGAAAAGCACGGGAATTACTTTTATTACTCTTTAGATATTTATTTTTTTCTTTAAGAAAAATTTGCTGAACTTGCCGGCCTATATTAACTAGGATATACTTACGTTCAATAAAGTGTATGGGCAACACTTGGCACAGATTCAACTTGTGGCACACTTCTTTTGGGTCCAGTTTATTAACGAGCATATCGATCACGTGGTCAGCATACTTGTCCACGAACTTGTGGCACTCATGTCGTACCAATTTTGGTACATTTTTGCATATATTGTGGACTAGATTCTTAATTTCCTCCTGAATTTATGTAAAACATACATAAAGTATGTAGTAAATAATTATAACAAGTGGAAAGATTTATGTAAAATATTAAACAGAAGGTGGGAACATACCTCATTTTTTCCTTTTATTTCTTTTTTGACCTCATCCATTACAATCTTGCACACTTTACATAAACCTTTTGAATATTCTACTTGTGAAGAAACATCGAATATTACGTTTATGCTAACTATAAAAATAATAATAAAACATTAAACATATTAATAACTATTTCTTAAATATTCATAAAATCGTAGCCAGTTAGACTTTAAATTCATATGCGTGAATACCTGTTTTAGCTATTTCAGAGATCAAAGAGTCTGCTTTATAAGACGTCTTTCGTGAGGTGAGGATAAGTAAAATTGTAGGTTACGGAGGCATTACATCTTAGTTTTCCGAAATTGCAACGTATCCCCCATATGTTGCTATTTTGGAAAATTTAGATGTATGTATGAAAGTGGTAAACAACGGTTACCACTTAGATTTGTCAGTTTGTTTTTTTTTTTATTCCAGTTAGTTACCTAATAAGATTAATTTAAAAATCTTACTTTCAGTACTCGGTACAGACATAACTTGGCAAAGATTCAACTTGTGGCACACTTTTTTTGGGTCCACTTTATCCACGAGCATGTCAATCACGTGGTCAGCATGCTTGTCTATGAACTTGTGGCACTCGTGTCGAACCAATTTTGGTACTTTCTTGCATATATTATGGACTAAGTTCTTGATTTCTTCCTGCATTTATAAAACAGACATCATGTAGTTTTAGTTACATAGACTTAGTTTTTTTTTTAATCTTATAATCAATCTATAATAAATAATAAAAAAATTACCTTATTCTTCTTGCCCTTGATTTCTTTCTTGACCACATCCATTATGACCTTGCATACTTCACATTTGGCTTTAGACTCTTCTTCTTTTATCACATTTAGATCTATTATAGGACAATACAATAAAACAATTTAATTATTTACATTACTTCTCTCGGCCAGAGGTATTACAAGTGGGTATTAATGTTTTGATTTATGATAGGTATATAGGTATATGGATGTACGTACGAAATAGTTTATTAACTAAATTTGCAGTGAGACGATAACACAATCAGTGATGGTCCACAATTTGATGATGCCATCTGTCATCAAATTGTGCACCAACTGAACTGTTCATACAGTTCGTATTATGGGGATATTCCATATTTTCTTTATAGAATAAAACATACAGATACTAATTTGCATAATATACATGTTTGCTAAGTAGACAATATATGTACATACGTACTATAAGAAAATTAGGATTTAACATGACATTACCTTCGTCAATATCGGGTACGATGACGTTTGTCTTCAGTGTCTGACACAAGTGTCCGGGTTCTCTCTCCTGGTCGACAATATCAATCACCTGCTCAGCATACAGATCCACAAAAGTGTCGCAATCAGTACGGATCGATTGATGTAAGCATCCGCATATTCCATGGACAATGAACTCAATTTTCTCACGCTGTTTGTTTAATAAAAACCACGCTTGTTATTAGATATTGCCGGCGCAGACAACAAGCTCTGTTCATGAAGGACAGAATTAACTACAATATCAGCTGCAGACTTGCAACTAACTAGTGAAATGAATACGTTGGTTATAAGAAAAATTATTTTTTAGAATGAAAAATAGGCCGGTCGTCTGCGCTAATAGTTAAAACTACATTGTACATCTTGCCATTTGAAAGACAGAGTTTGAATTTGAATAAATGTATCAAATGACACAGAATATATTAGTAGATAATCATCCTATAATTACTACAGAATGATGTGGATGACATTTTATCACTTTTTATTATTAAATAATTGTATATATATATATAGTGGGATTTTTGTTATTTGTTAACTTAATAGTTATAATGGATATTTTCCCACATTTTTATACAGTTAACTAGATTCCTAATTAGCTTTAATAATGTGCATGGCAGTCATCTATCTGTACGATGCAATGATGTGCGTGTATACAGTACAAAAAGTATTGGAACAGCTAACAACGTATTTTTATACATACCACAGCAATCAATGCTATGTTATGTATAAAAATACGGGCTCTAATAATGCTTAACTGCTAATGAAATGATTAAATTAATTGTAAACAAATTAATAATCAATTGTTGTATTTATTAAACTCATGATAGATATTTATGTGGACCGTAATTCCTGAATTTCGACCAATAGAATAGAATAGAAAATCATTTATTCAAATAAACGTAATTTAAGCACTATTCAACAATTTTTTTAAAATAAAACCATGGCTGTAATATTATTTACACATTACAAGAATGTGATCAATATGTAAAAAGATTTAATGTAGTGCGCCTAATACTTTTTAATTTTGATATGTGCAAATTACATAATCTCTGGTCAGGGATATGGTCTGAAATAGATGAAAATGTATAATTTATTTGAAACATAAATGAAACACTGTTTAATTTTCCCAACTTTATTTATAGAAACATTTTACAAATCAAGTTATCACAGGCTAGCGTGTGTTAACTATGGATTTACATGCAAAAGAAAGATCTACATTTCAGTTAATTAGCATTATTGTATATTTACTATACGTACAGACGTTTGGATACGTACACAAAATCTTCGATCCTGATATCAAGGTTTTGGTGACTATTTATTATAAACAACATAAGTACTCTTAACAACATTTTTCAATAATTGTTTCTACTTTATAAAAATACGCGACTTATTAGTAAGCCTCTTTTTAGAATAAGTTTTACATAATATTTCTTTTATAGCACAAAAACTCGTTACAGTAGATATAAAGCCTGAGCTACTATCTACTTTAGTGCTTAATTAACAAGTTATTATTTTGATATAAAACAGTCAATATGCGTACATAATTATTTATGAAATCAAACTTACATACTAAAGAGATTTGGTAAATAGTTAAAAATATAATTAAAATGAATATTATAATATCTAGTATGGTGCTGACAGTACCCCAAGGATGTAATTCTGGAATTAAAAATATATAGATATATTACATAGTCATATTTGTAAAATTTGTATATTTATCTTATATACTAAAAATACAACGATTATTTCCTAGCACTACAAATGTTAGTAGGTTGTTGTTGATTGTACTAAAATGTAAGAAATTGAAATTTCCTAAAGTAACACATGCAATAAGAATCCATGTTAATGCACGTGACCTACTAGCTCTAAACCAAAGGTCTGAAGGTAGACTAGACAGAGTACATTGGTTGATCACGCTAGAAACCACCCTGGTAAATCCCTGATGAATTTTCCTCGATGAGCTAACTGACCTGACTTCATGCTCATCTTATTTTCCTTCACTGGTGCCTTGCGTATACTGTTAGCTGAGACGGATGCACCATTCCACATCCTTCACTGGTACCTTGGTGGCGGATGCACCATTCCATCATCATTCATACAAAAACCCTATGTTTCTTGAATTTTGATTGTTATATGTTGAATACTCACAGTTAATGTTTATCTCCCTTTTCCTTGTACATCTGCACGTAGGCGATATTGGTCTGGCTACAAATGCCGATCTTCTGACAGACACCCTTAGTGCCGAACTCTTCAATGAGGTGAATCACACTGTCACCGTATATCTCCATCATAGTGTGACACTGCGCAATTTACGGCAAAAGTTAAGCACAATCATTAATGACGAATTATATTTGCGTGCAATAAAATGGCATAGTATATAATTTTTATGAATTCTAAAGCAAATTCACAGTTGAGATATATCACTGTGAATCCTTATAAGACAGTATCTCTACCTACTTCATAAGATATAAGGTGTGAAGATATCTAGAAAGTATGGACAAAAAAGAAAAGTATGATCTGATCTAACGATAAAAAAATTATTTAAATCTTTGAGAGGTCCATTTACTTTTACCAATGTATAATGGCAAATTAAGATTTACTAACATCGGTCACCAAATTATTTTTCTATACTACTTCAATAACATGTAGTAACATGTTATCGTCATTTAATTAAAATTGTGGATTAAATTTCAAGCAGACTAGCCCATTTTATTACTCGCAACTATATTTATTGAAATAGTATTGCCAGGAAGCTTCAAGACAGAACTTGACTTAGCTCTTATAGGCAAATGATAGTGGTACATATATAGTATAATTATAGCTTTACTTAAATATGTTTTTAAATATCAACAAACAAAAGCATAAAACCTTCTGGATTTAAAGTTTAATTGGTATTTTATGGTATCTTTAATATCCGTCGAGCGATGCTATGCTATAAAGTTATAGAGAGCAAATCATAGCAAAAAAGCGTTAATTGCTTTTAATATATACATGCAAAGAATATTATATAATAATTTAATATTATTAATTAGAAAAAGATATAGTAATATTCTATATCTTTTTTTAATTATTAGGTGAGATTGGTGTTTTTTAAATTGTGGAAAATGATACTTATTTATTTTAAAACGAAATATCAAAAAAGGTGTTGTTTCTAGTATATGAAAGCTTTACTTAATATAGGATAAATGATATTACATCAAAGTTCCAATCTTATTCAACAATGATCTCTGTAAGTCAACAATCAAAATTCATATATTTTTTTATAGTCTTTAGAATAAATAACAATAAAGTATTTTCTGATAAAAACAGAAATCAAAACGTAATTAATAATGTAATTTAAAAATAATACGAAAGCGTTACGACATTGTAGCTATCATTTCATACAATATTTTTTTATATAAAATAAGCTTATAAGTTTATACATATAGTAATAAGATAAATAAATATTTCAATACGAAAGAAGCAAAAGAAATAAAAAAACATACCTTACTAATTTGAATGTAAAACGATACGAAAAGGTTTGATGGCGTAAGTAAAACGTAAGTGTTGCATAGTGCTGAATACATTATTTCAGTAAGAAAGAGCCGCTAAATAATATCAGGCTTAATACTAATAGACTTAAATCCTTTTAACTTTAAGTGGATTTTTGAGTTATTGTAGGTTAGTATTAAGCGTGCGATATTTCCAAATACACACCAAATATGAAAACAATGTCACAATGTTTGATCAACTTACTCTAGCGTAATATTTTGCAGGCAGTAGGTTGCAAGACTTCTCAACGACATGTAGAATATCGTGATCAACTTTGTCGTTACTGAGCACTTTGTTGACTGCCATCACAACTACTTCACAGACAGCGCAGTCTAGGATTTCCTCTGTAGGAGAAAGTAACATGTTAGATTTATTGACAACATTATCGAGGTAAAAGGCTTTTTATTGACGACGTTACGTTAGGTAAGAGGCTATGTACAAAGTCTAAGTATTTATCAGCTATTTCAGCGGCATCCTTTGTAAAATATGACTCGTTTGATGGGTGAAATTAGACAGTGACATTACAAGGTGAAGAGGCATCTTGGTTCTAGGGAATGGTAATATATGATTAGTTATATATGTTAAGAGGCTAGATATAATATATAGAGACAGTGTAAAGCTAAGTCCGTGATGCTGTTCATGTATACATGTACATTAAAAATAAGTATAAACAAAATAAAGGCATAATAGAATACAACATATAGTCATTATTATTATAAAATATAATAATAATAATAATAGCCCTTTTTCCGAAAGTTGGGGTACATTTGCTGTTTACAGAATGTCCCGCAACTCGGTGTGCCTTTTGGCATAGGCCTCCTCCAGCTGAGAGAGCTTATAAAATATAGCTAAGTATATTTATTACATATCTTATAATAATTTCTTTAGCATTAATTAATAAAGACTGGATTTATTCAATTCAGTGTCAGTTATTTATGAAGCTGAACAGATTTGGATCAAATTATATTTTTTTAAATTTTTAATAACTGCGCTATCACATGTTTGATTTAATAGAAAATAGTATATTTAGATTGTTATTTTTATATACAAATATAATATAATACAATACAAATTGACTAGGTGTTCAATTTCAATTTCACTAGATTTGGGCTACTCGTTATAACTTTTCCATTACATTGTATATATGTAAATGATAAATTTATCTAATTTGGAAGTAAAAATACTAAATAAGTTTTAAATTATGATATTAAAACAAGCAAATCAAAGAAATAGAGCTCATTTATGTGTAAACTACTATTAAATAGATTTGAGGTCTCTAGAATTTGATTGAAACTTCGTAAATGTTGGACGATAGTATAATCGCTTCCATCGCTTACCATCAGGTGGGCCGTCAGCTTGCTTGCCCTTTTAGTACATAAAAAAATAGCATTATATTACAAAGCATTTTAATACCCTTAACAGCGTTGATACCGGTGGGACTGCAGAGTTTCAGTTCCTGGCAGACGAGTGTGGGGTCCAATTTCTGTTCCAGTAAGCTGATGACCAGATCTGCATACTTCTCCACAAAGTTATCGCATTCGCTGCGCACCGATTTTGGAAGACGATTGCAAATGCCGAGAACAATATTTTTGATTTCATCCTAGAAATACATAATAAATTAAAGTATCTATTGAATATGTATTATGTAGTAATTTCTTGTGAGTGGTAATGGAACGGTGCTAACGGCGAGCCACTTTGCCACGATGATCTAACTGACCAGACCTCATGTCTGGTCAGTTAGATCATCGTGACAATAAATTTATCACGGTGGTTTCCAGGGGGAACCACGTGTACATTGCTAACAATCCCCTTACCCAGTGATAAAAAAAATTACAAGCTTAAATGGCGGGACACTCATCTAGATGAAAAAAACATTTTCTACAATTTTAAATAACATTGATTTACTTAGTTTTTTTAAATACGTACCTCGTTGTGTTTATCCTTGATTTCATCTTCAATCTCTTTCAAGACAAATTCACATATGACACAAAGCCCCTTCTGTGATGTTCCGGACACTTTCGGCTGGCCATTCACAGTGTTATCTGGGATTTCGTTGGTTTCTGTTCATTAAAATAATGTATGTTAAATTATGACTATCATATAATAATTTATATACGACTTTTTATAACAAAGAGTATTCATAACCATTGAAGGCGGGCATATGCACCAGGCGACAGAAGAGAACAAAAGATTCTCTGTTAACAAACTCAAATAGCAAAAAAAATGGATAAGATATTTTGTTGTAACATCACATATGCCAACTCAGAACCATGTGTTAATACAATGGTGTATATATATTAATTAATTTTAACTTACCGATATCACTGTTCTCCAACATATGTTTTGGCAGTAACGACTTCTTTCTGAAGTTATTCCGGTCGGCCATTTTGTGAGGCTTCTCGTGGTAATAGTCGACGGATTGCTTGGTAATCTGTAGCGGATCACTGACCTGGTCGGTGCACAGTTTTAGGAATACGCATACTTCCTGTGGGCTCATGTTGGCGACCAACATTTCGACCAACTGATCTGCGTATGTGTCAACAAAGTCGGTGCATTGTGTTTGGAATTTCTTAGAGAGATGTGTGCAAAGGTTGTCTAGTGCATGACGGATATTGGCCTGGAAACAATTTATATAAAATAGTATACAAAAAAATCTTTTGTTTAACATTTTATCGAAGAAGAATTGGAAGATTCAGTCAAGAAGATTGAGCAAGAAACTTGGCTGTTATTGTTCTGAACGAACAGTTTCTTGCTAAGTCATAATTGACATATAATGATTTCGAATCAATACGAACTACAAAATAATGTAGATTGGAAATAATATGTATATATGACGAAGAATGAGTCGTAATTTCCACACGAATTTTTGTTGTAAACTTATTTTTTAATAAACTTTAGAGAAATTTGTTTATGTGTCATGAATTTATACAATACCTCAGTGTGGTTACTCTTGAGCATAGTTTCAAGTTGTTCCACAGCGAACAGACAGAGTGGGCAGTTGGATTTATCAGAATTAATAGAGACGTGGCGAACTTTCTGGGTTTGTGGACATAGACCCATGGCCGGGCACACCTGCAACACAAGTTACAATAACAATAATAGTAAAAAATATGTTAAGTTTATAGGTAGAAGATGTATGATAAGTGCATAAAGTTTTTATCGTTTGTTGTTTAAACATATATAGGAGTTACAATAAAAGGAAATTAAATATAAGACCATATCTAGAATCAATATTTGAAAAGCCGGAATGGCTCATACATATTTTCTTAATTATGCAGCTTTCCACACTTTCGTCGTGCATTAATTAACAATATGTTTAGACAAGTATTTTTATAGAAGTACTTGCGACATTGTCACATACACAACACGTCACATTATTGGGGTAGACAGTAAAAGTTTTGTATACATACAAAATGCATATTAGAGATAAACCAATACCTATAAAAAAAATAAACGAACTAATCCAAAATATGTGTACACAACTGTCAGTACTAATATGGTACTTACACTAGCGGGATCAATCTCTTGAACGAGCAGAGCAATAACTGCAGGTCCGTATTGTGTCACGAATTGTTTGCATTCTCCTTCTACTGTATTTGGCAGGCGGTCGCACGCTTTTTCTACAGCATCTCTGATAGCATCCTGGAACAATATTTACGAATTGTTATATGCTAGAGATGCAATTAAAATCATCTGTTAACTTCAATACCATTTTAAAGATTTTCTGTTGTTTACTATTGCACACATAAAACAAACAATATATGATTATGAATTAAGGAAAGGAGCAGATATCTCGACGCTGGGAGAATAATTCTGGTTATTGTTTACCTATGCTCAGGGGGCTTGCAATTATTTTAATATCCCGTTATAATGTATATTATAATAATCACCTCAGTTCTAGTATCGCTAAGTTCCACTTGGATGTAATGCAGGAAGTACTGGCAGAATGAGCAGGCCGCTTTGCCTTGTGGCTGTTGTATGAACATGCGTTCTATAGGCAGCGGGGCGATGTCGGACTCCTGGCCCATGATACGAACGTGGACTTGTTTATCTACCGGCACTCGACCAATCTAGAAAGAAATAAATAAATATATATTTATTTTGCGCATACAAAAGAAAATCATAGTAAACATATTATTATAAACATAGTTTCATAATTAATTATTTAACAAATATGTACAGCTGCGACCGATTGGTTACCACTCAGCTTTATGTCTAGGCTGTAATGCCCAAAATCTAAACTAATTATTTTATTTAACAAGAATTAGTTCATGATTAGAGGTCACAGTACATATTCTGTCGTCAACTAACGTTGCCATACCTAAGGACTAAGCAGTGTCCTGTATTTTTCTGCTACAACTCACCGTCTCTCATGGAACACAGCTACAAAACAAGCTGTTTAGCGTTAGACAAAGGTACCTTACCAATACCTAAATTGCTTGTACCAAGTTCATCTTGGTGGTAAAATGACCAATTAAATAATAAAAACAGAATTGTTTAACAACAATTCTGTTTTTATTTTAAAAGAGCTCCAGATGACTAGGAATTTCGAGTAATAGGCTAAATTTAATAATACATTAAAATATGAGCAGATGACTACAACTTTCAGCGATTTCTTTAGAGACATTTGTTTTGTTAGATACTATAGAAAGAAGGTAAGTTATGAATTACCTATACGTACTACCACATAATTTGATGGCGCCAGAATAGAATAGTAGTTATAATAGTCTTATATTTAACCACAAATTTATTCTATTAATGTATTATCGTTCTCAAAAATAATTAATCATATATTAAATACTTACAGCAGTAAACATAATTATGCAATAGCAAAATAATACAACTTGATAATCACATGCATCAGCATGTATTATATTTAAAGACATTGTATTTTCCTTCTATGTTCACTACCAAAGTTATTATTTAAATATATAATTGCAAGATTCAGTTTTAATTATTATTTATTTATTTATTATCTACTATTATTATTTGCATATTCTTTATAAAATATTTAAACTCGGTTCAATTTATAATTTAAATTCAATATCAATTATAAACCAATCCTGTACGAAATGGAATTAACATTAAACAGATCAAATATTAAAAAAAAACTTCATTTTTTTTTCATTTCAATCACTTCTCATCGTGACGCGGTCTACTGATCTACTGTTACTTTTAGATTTACAGATTTATTTTTAAGGTGATTGATGACTATTCACTTAATTATTTTTATTTAATGGTATATGTATCAATTTATAGCAATAAAGAATACGCATATCTAGAGCCAAAACGTTTTATCTTCATTTATCATTTTCGTAATTACTTAATTTCTATCTCTAATCAGTTCTAGAACTATGAGCAGATGTTAATCAGTTTCCAGATTTAAACAAAAAACTTTAAAAAATTCTATAATTATATACAATAAATATAATTACCTTTTCATTGACTCTGTAACTGTTGGCTTCGTCACCTCCAATTAATTTGTCAGCTTTGATGGCGATCTCTTGAGGCAACAACGGTGATATGGGCTCATCGATGCGCTTTCCACAAATGCCCATAAGGGTGCAAACTTTATCGGGCTGTAATTCCGACACTAAGTACTTGTACAGAACGGGGTAGTATTCATCAGCTAAATGAAGACATTCATCCTTAAATTTACCAGTCTGCTTGCAGAGGCCTGAAAAACCAATAGCATTGAAGTTAAAGAGAAAAAATATTCAACTGTAATAATCCGTTGAGATTGACTTGTCGGATTCTTTACGGAATATATTATTTTATTGGTTGTTTTTAACGTTTAATAATTGACTACATTAAATAAAAACAGTAAAAATCATAATTTTATTATTTTATCCCGAAGAAACGTTGTTACGCGACTTTTCTTTAAGTACAAAAGATTATTATTAAGACTAACCAGTTATAACCCTGTAGAATTCAGTTTCGGTTGTGTTTGCAACAATCACATCTCGGAGATGGGTGATAACTTGTTCGCAAAATTCGCAGGGAACATCACTGAAAAAAAAAACAATAATATACGTCGCCTATCTACTAAATAATACTATCACTTAATTATTACTAACATCCATCCTATTGTATATAATTATTATAAGAATATGTAAAAAAATAGGGGTAATTTATATTTATATCCAGAGAGATAATGGCCAAGCCAGGCTCGCCCCCAGTCATTTTAGATTTAAATAATACCAACGAAATGTATGCATGACTTGTATTGCGTTCAACGCGATGTTGACAATTAACAATTGTACTTGATAATTTGACTGTCTACCTCTTATAAATCAAGAGATGCGAAGGTATATTGTTATTATTATAATTGACTTACTTTGTAGCCTTCACTTCACCAACAACCAGTTCCGGGAACACGAAATCGTCATGAGTGTGAAATTTGTATGTGCATTGTCCGCTCATGTGGCACACACTCTGAGGAGTTAGATCTGCTTTCACGGCTTTTATGATGTCCTCGTAGTACTTGAAGACTAGCATCGAGCACGAATCTGATAGAGAATCCATTCTGCGACATGCCTGTATGAATAATTGTATAGGTATTTTCAATGACTTGATCAAGTTTTAACTATTTCCAATTTTAAGTACCTCAAGTATCTAGGATCTTCTCACAACGCCAACTGGTCCCAAATTAGCAGACCTTGCACTATATAGACACTAAGCAACTGACATAGTCAATTTGACACGACATACATAGAAAACACCAGGACCAATACCAACTTACTTACTATTATAGTCTATAAACATTTAAATTTTATTTTAATTGGAGTGTGATTATTTATTTATTCTTATCTATGGACAATAAGATCGAATGTAATTAACTCACCTGCAATAGACCAACAAGGAAATCTTCATAGGTGGTGTCGTCGAAACGCTTTCTTAACACGCTTGCTGTAGTTTGGCAGTTGTAGCAGTCCACGCGTTGATCCTTTTGTGTATTCTGTAAATATCAATAACAATTAGAAAATATATCAATACAAATAATTTTATACTATGTACTGTAGTGCTAAAGATACGAAATTTAATTTTACGTTTGTAATCACGCTCAAGGGCTTTTTAAACTCGATACAAAGACGTATAGATTCGCGCTTTTAGCCTACCTGACAGCGCATTACTGCTTCATCTGTATATTAGAGACTGCATTTGAAAAATACATATGATGTTTGTGATTGGAATAGCTAACAAGCTGGGGGCCTATGTGATGGTAAGTGGTAACCATCTCATATATACATCAACAGACAAATAATAAGACGCCCATGCCACTGATATTTAAACAATCTGTATCATCAGATGCCATCTGATATCCGAGATTATCTGTAGATATCATAGGTTTTAATGAGCAAATCGTTTTATATAAAATACTACCTAAGTGTCTGCACCATTTGTGACAACCTTTAGACCGAATCTATTGTTTGCTTCTAAAAATAATAATGTCATTAAAGTGGCGTGACACTAGAGGGGTCAGCGCGTATATATGTGGTTATCGCGTTTTACTGTTAATGAGGTAAAATGCTGTTAAAGTAAAAACTAAATTATGTGTAACAGTGATCGGGAAAGTCAACAATCATAGAGAACATAGCGAAAATTGCTACATATCGCAAAATTTTAAAATTACATTTTTGGGGAATAAACTTAAACAAGGCTATGCGTATACTATACTTATTTGTTGTATTAGGATAAAAGTCATATATTAGTAAAAATTTCTAATCGAAACCCACATTTTCTAGTTTTAGAAAATGTTAGAAACCTACTGCTTTGTAGTACATATATAAAATTTGCTTTTTATTGAACAAAACATAATAGTCTCAAGTAGGTACATAATACATGACACTAACAACCACAATGTACAGAAATAATGAAGTTGATACCAATATTAACTTATCATAATTATTAATGTAGCATTCGTGTTATCAGTAATCAGCGTTCTAATATTATACAAACAGACACAAAAAATATTTTTTTTTTTGTGTCTGTCTATTGATAACGAAGACAAGTCGTATATATAGTACTTAACTTTATGCCTAATTTAATGTAAATTATAAATAAAATAATATCTTATAATCCACTACATTCGATTAACGATATTACAGTCACAACAATGGTTATTTATTTTTATTGTTTTATGTGTGAGTATGAAATCAGATTTAGTCCGACAGCAAATACAGGAGGATATTACAACGATGGTATTCAAACGAAGCGTGTGGATGTCGACCTGATTAATACTATAAAACTATGCGGCTTTTAGTAATCAAAATTAGTCTAAACTTTAGTTGAAAATTATATAAGTAGTAATTCGGATAAATTTGAAAAACTCATTGCATTGTTATTCATACTTGTATATTAACACGGAAAAATACGCGAGTAAATGCTTGTGCATTATTTATTGCCGTTAGTGATACGCGGTAAATAAAACAGGGTTTTAATCAATCTCAGCGACTTAATTTAAAACAGCGGTTTTGATTTTGTATTATAATTATTTTATAATTATACTATCACTCGCCCCGGCTTTATGTGTTTTTATATTATATTTTATTGAACCTTTCTATTATATACTAGCCGTTCCCGCGACTTCGTCCGCGTAGAAATTGACTTTATTTTTCTAAAATAAAAGTAGCCTAAGTTACTCCTTATTACATCAGCTACCTGCCAAAAAAGTCCCGACAAAATCGGTCCAGCCATTTCAGAGATTAGCCGGAACAAACAGACCGACAGACAGACAGACAAAAATTATAAAAAATATTATTTTGGTATATGTACCGTTTCATATGCATGTAGTAAAAAACGGTTATTTCAATATTACAAACAGACACTCCAATTTTATTTATATGTATAGATAAGTGCCTGACACAGAAGGAGTTTCAATCATATATACAGGAATCTTAGCCAATGCATAAGGGTTATTATAGCCTTGTACAACTCGAACAGCGAAGCGATTATTAAAATAATAACATTATGCGTCCTATTTCATGAGCATTAAACTTGATTTATTGTGCATAATCACTACTTAATGGCTGACCGGATTCTGATAAAACAACTCAGTGTTTAATGTTAGTTGTCAAAGAGGAAGTAAATATAGGGGATTTTAATTAGGTAAAACCATTGATAAAACAGTACAATAAAAATAAAAAGAATCGTCATTTAGACTCTTTCATCAGTATATTACTTATACATATAAATAAAATTGGAGTGTCTGTTTGTAATATTGAAACAACCGTTTTTTACTACATGCATATAAATATAAATACAGTACATACACCAAAAAAACACTTTTTACAATTTTTGTCGGTCTGTCTATTTGTTCCGGCTAATCTTTGAAATGGCTGGACCAATTATAACGGGTCTTTTTTTGCCAGGTAGCTGATTTAATAAGGAGTAACTTTGGCTACTTTTATTTAAAAAAAAAAAGTATAATTCCACGCGGACGAAATCGCGGGAACAGCTAGTGTTAATTATAATTGGCTACATTAACTACAATTACAAGTCTATAATAACTAGAGATATACGAATCAACGATACACACTCAATGATATGTACAGTATGTAAATAATAAAGAATAAATCACAATTACATTGCAACAACAACTAGAAACTGTTGTTTGATTTGTCGGTAACAAATCGTATTACACTGATTTATGGTGATAAGGCTCTCATATACATACAATTAAAACTATAATTGGTAATTAATCTTAGCTTATTGTTTGTAAGCGATAAATACCAATAGTGATAAATTATAATATAACAGTACTCATTTCATTACTTGAAAAAATAAAAACAAGTAAAATTGAATTTTACTTTTTTACAGAAATAGAATACCGGGACATATTAATAGTATTAAACTATTAATATGTCCCTACAACAAAATATGTCATCAGACATGTGCAGTTGTACAGAAGAGTAAATAAAAAATACATACGTATCTCTCCAGCAGATGATCGATTTTCGCGTTGTTACAAAGTCCGGCGACCGAGCAGACTGCTTGAGGGTTCATCTGTGAGGAGAGGGTCTCCACTAACTCAGGCACGAAGTTATCCGCCAACTTGATGCACTCCTTCGCTACAATTTTGATGGGTATCAGCTTGCAAGAACCTTCGAATACTTCTTTCAGTTCCTCCTGGAAAGAAATATAACAATTTGCTTATTTGGCATTACTGTAAATACATAAAGCAAAATAACTTGATTAAACTAATAACAAGCAATATATTGGGCTTGTTAATGACGTAAATGTAGTAGCACTGGTGACCTAGCCATTGTTTATTGTCTATCAAAAATAAAATGACACGCCTATTTTACTCTGATAACACAAACGATTTACCAATAAGAAACAAGTAATAAATATATCCTTTTAATATATTTTGTAATGGATGATAGAATGATGATGAAGTCAGATTACTAAGGAATTCTCGGAGGAGACTATGACTGTTTCCTTGAGGTGGACGGTACACCATGTGGTGGTGTAAACAGTCATGAAAACTAGATAAATCAAGAACAGCGTAAGAGAATGCATTTATTTATTTTTTATTTTAGAATTAGATCGTTTGTAAAAAAATAAATGTACAATTAATTAGAAATATTTCTTGTTATTATTACAAACTTATCTCCCGAACGACCCAGAATTCGTTAACAAAGTAATCCGAGTCGCCTCATTAAGGGTTATCGGTCAATGACTCAGGGCTCACTGCAAGGTGATTTCGTGAGATCCAGGCTGTTTGCCCCCACTGATAAACTACAGTACTTGATTTTAGAAAGTTAATTAATTGCTGCGCACTATCTAAGAAGATTCAAATGGGAGGATAGGATGTTCATGAACGTTACAGATATTTCATGTTTGTAAATTGCATTTGTGGAGGGAATTGTTCGGTTTTATAAAAACTTTACAAATGTGTAAAAATTTTAAAAACAATCTGAATAAGAACCCCAGAAAGCTTATTAATGCAATAAAATCCTATTCCTAAACTCGTGATCGACAATTATTTTGTTTTAATAATGCTATGTAATTATTTTACTGAAATATGTAAATATACAATTATCATAATATATATATAATATGCAGAAACTATTGTAGAGAAAAGAATACGTATTCTTTTCTCTACAATAGTTTCTGCATACTTATGTTTATATCAAATCTTATATAGTTAGTTTGGTGACTAGAATATTAATTTTTATAATAGTACAAAGCGTCTATAATTCTCGACAAGTACAATGTAAAACTAAGTAATTAAATAATTTATTTTAAATGGAACAAATATTGAAACTATATTAGCTTATCACTTATATGAGTCAGAATCCTGCGGTTAGTGGTTCGGACTTCTAATTACAAAGTATTGTTTATTAATAACAAAGTAACAAAAATGTAGACAACATCACTAACACAGTAACGCAGTAATATTATCTAGTTTTATAAAGCGACAATTGTCGATTTCATTACTTCTGGTAGAATAATAGTAAACTACAAGTATATAAAAAAACTCATTCTTATTATTTGTATAGATATTCTTAAAATCACTTAAAGTAGTCAGCTAGGTATTTTTCTTTTTTAGTAATTGAACAAATTTTAGAAAAAATACAGAATAACTTAAATTTAACCACTTTAACACAATATAAGGACGAAGAATAGGTTTTTGAGTAAAATCGTGTTTGTATACTCTGTTTGTACCCAGTAATCACTATTACTATTGTACGAGCAAAATTAAGTAGAAATAATAGAATAATAACCTGTGTTTCATTGCTCAATAGCTGATCGCGGGCCTGTTGCACCATGTCTGTGCAGATCTTGCAGATGCTGTCATTATCTTCAGGGAAAGTCATCTTGGACCACACCTTTGTGACGCAGTGATGAGTAGCTTTGCATTCACGGCCAGTACTGTGTGCAAAAAGTATTAATTTTATATTTAACCAACTACAAATTATAATGCTAATTAATTGTCTAAGTTTTATATGTCTTCAGGACAACATAGTAATTGGTTTTAGCTGGAATGAGAATGCTAAACCTGGATGGATATCCATCAAGTAATATTCAATCGGCTAATTGTTTTGGTTATTTTTGAATCTTAAGATTTCAATTTAATTTGTTCAGAAATCTAAAATCCCGTCCTGTATCTATATAGATTGAATAATGTACGAGTATAGGTATATATATTTATTCATATGAAATAATGTAGCTTTCAAATATTAAACCACTGTAGTTCAGAGTTTATCCTCCACTAACAAAATCTGAAAATTATAGGTACTCTTATATAGTGTAGATAAAACGAGTATGTACAAGATTAACTCGATTCAAATAATTAAATAAGGCGGATTTCTGTTGTTTCATACGTTACGTCCCTGTAACAGACGAATAATCATTCCATGTAGGTATGCTAGTATGCTAGATATATTGCTTCTTTATTAAGTAAGGATAAGAATGAAAAATTATAAACTTAGGATCGTCCGTTACAACTTTTTTATGTAATTAGCTGACGGACACCTTATTTTTTTAATGAAATTTGCTGACGGCCTATTAACAGCAGCACGGAGGTCGTGTTATGCCAGTCATGCGTTACTATTTCAGAAGACCAAGGAGTTATGCTTGCATATCCTGTAAATTCACTTCCTTATCTCATTCTTCAAGCGAAACACGGCATTCAAAGTGAGCTGCTTGGTGATTAAAATGCATACTTTTACAAAGAGTACCTCGGAAAATAGATTTAACAATGATTAAGTAACAAATATGCACGATGATTGATTGATTTGATTGACTTGATGACGAAGTACTTGCACAATTTCTCGACACAAACATTATTAGTAAGCAAAATTGAATCTTTTACGGTACAGTCGTATTGACACAACAATATCTTGTAATTGAAACTGTTTCCGTGACCAAGTGCGTCCTACATAAACATTATTGTAAACGATTTGCGTTGGGGCTGACAAAATGTTGACACAGCCGGCTTTATTATATAGACATCTACTTATAAAAGTTGTTTAAACCAATTGTCTCGTTGACTTATGGGTATTTATAATGAACTTAAAATGACAATAACTGCTTCAACTGTAATTTACACTTCATTTTATATTACAGAAGAATGGTAATAAATCCTCTAAATATATAATTAAATTCGTCATAATAGAAAAAGAATGGAGAATTTTGTTCGAAAAAAAAAACTCGCTTCTTTGTACAATGCGTCAATTTTCTCAACACATTTAGTCGGTATTGTACATCCAACCGGATATATATTATCCCGCATCCTATCGAATTAAAATTAAGGAACACTGTTGAGTTCATTGTATCGATGATTAAGAGTATTTGTGCATCATGTAGCATGCGTCATTTAATCCAATTATTGCACGCTGTAACTTCTTATAAATGGAATTATATTAAACCAAGGTATTTTTGTAAAAAAAAACCGTCTGCGTGGGTTCAGTCAGTCTCATAATTATAAGAACAATCAAAATTAACATTTGTTTTATCTGTTGCATGTCAGAAATGACAAAATGTGTGAAACTAATAGACCTTAAAAACCACTTATTACCACATTTTTAAGGAATAAATATTCCTTTCATTTCTCACCTATGTATTTCAGCCGCCAAACAACTTATTTTTGTAACTTGTATTTCAGACACCACCCAAACCGATATCCGTTTAATAGTAACCGAATATTATTACTAGTAGTCCATGCGTGTACAAATTACATCTTCAATTCGAACATCATTATTTTGACTATCCTTCATATTAATTACAAAGGTTGATAATTATTGTAGGAATAAATTACAATTTAGTTAATTCCAAATGAATTCGCCAAGATGGGCTGACTTCATCCTCATCAGTTACTGGTTCCCCATCAGCGTATACCGTTAGGGCAGGCGAAAGCACCACATCATTATCATCCAATAAAAAAACCACCGCAATACATAGTTCAATATATCACTTACCTGAAATTGCTACACCAGTAAGATGGTCCCCAGGTGCATTGGGAACTACCTACTAATTTATCTGAAACAAAACATTATACATGAACTAAAACACTACAAACTCATTTACTATTATATATCTTATATTCAAAGTAAGAAACGAGTTTAAAAGAAAAACAGCAAACGAAATACAGCTAAATTAGGATTTTGAATAGCTAAAATTCACACTAATCTTAAACTCCACACTAATCTAATTATCCCACTACTATAATATTAACACATTTATAAATTGTAATAACACTATATCTTACTATATCACACTTACCTGTGTGCCTCTTAGGTTCAGTTGTCTTCTTTTTCTGAAAAAAAAAAATACAAATAAAACATCTTGTGGGTATAAATGTCGATTACGCTATGTTTTGTTATTAAGTCAAATAAAAAAAGTAAAATTTATTAGTAAGTTTAGAAGTAGCTGTCATTTCATATCATGGCTAGCTCTCTTCTTGCAGATACCATTTTATATATTGTAATTGCTCTTCTTCTTTGCCCGTCTCTCTATTTTTACTAACAGTAAAAAGTTCAGTTCTTCTTTAAGGTAAATATTAAATTTATTTACGTTTATTTTAATAAATTATTAGTTTATAATGCAGATTTTCTATTTCTAACACTGGTATTCAGGAATTACTTACGCTCAAAGCTAATATATTGTCGACCTTCATGTTATTACACATTCTGACGACGCGACACATGGTCGAAGGAGCGGTATCTGATAGAAGAACATGGATGATATATTTCTCCAAAGAAGCTGTGTTCTCTTTGCATATCTTCGTGATTGCTGAGCTTGGAATATCTTCGCATGCTGATTTTAGCCGAATGCCTAGGTATTCCTGGTGATAAAATAATTTATATTAAAACTAGCGTCATTGCGTGTATAACATACTGATGGTCACAGAAATTGAAATAAGAATTTAAATATAAATATAAAATCTGATATAATCTGCGGATCCATTCCCCGTGGAAACCATCGTGATAAATTCTTGGTGAATTTGGCAAAAAAACACACAGATACACGTCAAACTTACAACACCCTCTTTTTGCATCGGAAATTAAAAAAATATTTCTTGCATTTCAAAATTATTTTTAAGTCGCGAAACGCATTTTTAACTATTGCATTAAATGTATTTTTATTTTAATTAAATAGGTTTCCAATACTAACTTTTTTTTGCACGTAAGTCGATATATAAATGATATCTAACTGCTATTTTATTTATTTCTAGTAAATACTTATAGATAATTTAAAATTCATGATAATGATGATGATTATATTTCATATTATAAATAAAGTTTACACCCAAAATGGGAGTCTTAAAATTTTAGGGAAAATACCTCTATTATTACTTGAACGGATGGCAAATAAACGTAATAACTGACAGAATCACTAATTATCAAATTCCGTTCAAGAAAGTTTTCACGTTGCGTTGTTATGTGACGCAAAAAATAATAAAATTAATAGTAGAATTGAGCATATTTTAAAGTTGTTTGAAAACTCTACCGGTATATTAAAATATTCATGTGATTCACAAACAAATTATTCAAAACACATGCGCAAATAACGTTCTCAAGGATGAGTAGAGGTCGCGGGGGTTAAAATGTCTAACACCCAGCCAAGTGTAATAGGCACTTCGTCATAAGGAGATAATATTACGGCATTAGTAGATTACCGTTGAGTGTATTATACAAAATAATCTGTTCTAAACTCTGTAGAACTTATGATTATCTGTATCGATCTGGGTGTTTTCTACGTAAAAATGTATTTATATGTTTAGTACCCATAACATAAACTCTGCTTAGCTTGGAACTAAATGCCGCTGTGTGAATTGTCTTGAGATATTATTATTTTATGATAAACATCGAAAATGATATGCTTTTCTTCACGTTGTAATCAGCCTGTTTGCTAGACCAATTACATTAAAAAACATCAGCTGTACACATAAAACAACCTATTATCAACATATTAATATGTTACTGAGTATGCAGGCCCATAAATGGTGAAAACTAGACCACTATTTACTATGTTGGAAATTCACCTTGTATGTGTGTATATATATATATATATATATATAAATGTACCTTATTTGCAGTTTCCGGGTTAAAGTATTTTATGCAGCCGAGTTCAATAGACGTGTTATACTAAAGGCATAATACTAACAGAGATTCATGGACAGGTTATAATATATATAAATATATACAAAATTCATATGCATTATAACCAGACTACTGGCTTATTATATTCAGGTATTCTAAATATTTTAAATTGAACTATATTTTTTCTTTTCTCTTAATTATTGCTCTGATATTGGAATGAATCGTGTAGTGGACAATTAGAGTGTGAAACGTATCTACTATCATTATATTGTTCAAGCTCTATATATTGCACGTAGTAATGTAAGCAACTCGTTAAAAAGAATCTTTTATACAGACTAAAGTTAATGTATGAGATATCGCTTATATAAGGTTCAATGAGTAATTTATTATGCTTATATTTGTTTCAATGATTTTAAAATTAAAAATAAAAAATATTATTACAGTAATAATAATATTAAAAATTATAGATCCTACAGTTGCATAAAGATAACGCAGGGTTGAAATTACGAGTTCGAGTTCCGTCGATAATGAGAACCATTTTAAATAATGATTGCATCAACCACATTAAAAATACAGAAGACTCTCGGATTATAGCGTATTAATTTTGATATATTTTGTGCGTAGTTTAGGCGATAATCTATTGTATAAAATAGTTTTTGCTTTTAATTTGGTTATGTAATATTTTCAATAATTTCTATAAATAATATATATATATATATATTATTTATAGAAATTATTGAAAACGCTATAACCAACTCTACAGTCCAGTCAAACTAGACATTTGATTTAGCCAAAATTCGCATAGAGCTGAAAATTGGCACAGACGTTAAATAAACCATTACAAATGAAATGTCACCAATCCCCTTCGATAGGATTCGATCTGTATACTGATCAAACTTTCTTTATCGCAATAGATCGTGGAGTATGCCTACTGGGGAAACCACGTTAAAAAAAATTGTAGGGAATTGTATGACCTACAACTTTTGCCTAACCTATTATGACGATAATATTTTGGGTTTCAGAGAAAAATGGAATAAAACCTGAATTTTTGACCTTTGACCTAGGATAAAAAAATTTGCAGAAGTAGGATCGATGGGGATTATTGACATTTCATTTGTAATGGTTTATTTAACGTCTATACCAATTTTCAGCTCTATGCGAATTTTGGCTAAGTTATCATTTTTTTGGTCTATTTTGACAGGATTAATATACTTATACTAACTGACGATGGATATCTTAATTTTAATACGTTAACTGTAAGGTATACCTCATTGATCATATCTTTCACATCCTTCAGCTCGGTGAAAAGTTTGATGAACTTGTCCGACACTTCATTGCTGTGAATATTGTCATCCTGTGTCTCCCACACTGTAGCTATACAGTGCCCCACAGCGCCGCAATCTGCCGCACGACTGTATCAACAAAGAACACAATGAGACAGATAATAGCTTTAGTTTGAGGGTGAGATATACGGTGCATGTAATAATCTGATCAATCAAGTTTTCATCATCTGGGTACTCATACCGTATCCAATGTAACTCACGGAGGCACTTTGAGCTTTGTCACAAAATTTCTTATCATTTATTTATAGAAATATTAATTGGCCATTAAAGACAAACATAATAAACATAAGTGTGGCAATAGAATTAGCGCGGATTTGTATAGTGCGTGTGCTAAATGCGGAGTATAGATTTGTGATATTATTAATTATCATGATAATTTGTATTGGCTGCGGCATTTATTATCTGACATTGTTATTGTACTTAATGTAAACAATTAATAAATGAATTAGGTATTTTAAAAACAAGCAACAAAAATCTTATATTTACTTAGTAACTGACAATTATAAATTCGCAGCAATTGCCCCCGCCCTCCATTACGCAAAAAAAAAAATCAACTTGCATTATTGCCTTTTAAGGGATCCTGTAATTCATTCTTTATTCGTAATAACGATATCGATTTATTATTACGTGATCGATAACATTTATGCAGGGTGAATTTTTCTTTGTTCTATTTGCTGTAATTTCGATGAATCCGACAAGTACCTACCTCATTACTCACACATTACACAATGCTGAAGATACATCGCGTGGTTAGTAAAAGAACTGTTACATGTTAAGTCTGTGATTTATTTTATAACTAGCTACCCAACCCGGCTTCGCACGGATATACATGTATTATACACATACACCCTCCTCTTGAATCACTCTATCTATTAAAAAAATCGCTTCTAAATCCGTTGCGTAGTTTTAAAGATTTAAGCATATATAGGCCAGACCGCGACAGCGACTTTGTTTTATACTATATAATAATGTAAATCGAATGGCAAACAAGTTGTCGGCCCACCTAATTGTAACCGATAACCATCGCATATATACATCAACAGCACCATGACCATCACGCTTTCATGTGACACGCGACACGAGTGGGCAGAGCACTAAGATGTTATGCCTCCTATCCTGTAATATCACTGCCTAACTGCACCCTACAACCAAAACAGCTTACAAAGCAAGCAGCTTAGCAGTTGTAATAGGTGAGATCGAGGTACCTTACAGCCAACTTCATAAAGTCTACCTCTGGTTTCTATTATTTCTATATATTACATTATGTTAGTAATATATAACAAAGTTTTCAAAATAACAGCTATCTTAGTGATGCTGAGTTTAATGTAATTCTGAGATTAGTAATTTACACAATTATAGATCTTACCTTAAACTTTGACACCAGTACTCAGGTCCTTTTGAACATTCTTTTGGTATTTGTCGAGCTAACGACAAATCTGGAAACAGATATTGTACTTAAAACATTGTTTTCTTTAAAAAATATCAGATACATGATATCCAGACAATGTATATATTTTTTATAACATTTATACATTCTAGTTATGGCATTTTTTGGTACAAAAGAATTTTATTTTAAGTAATTAGGTATTCTGACTCAAAATCAATATAATATTTGATGTCATTCACAAGTAATGTGTATGTATAACGATGCATAAACAGCACAATTGGTTTTTCTAGCGCCTTGGTATACAACATAAGCCTATGCAATAAGATATGCAAGTACAGTTGCTTTAGTTAGGATGTCTCAATATCCAATTGCGTATTGAAATCTCTATAAAGGCAATCTTAATATTTCTTTTAGCATTATAATATCTAAATTATAACTTTTATAAATGAAGATATAAAAAAATTACTGAAGAATATAATATAGATCTATAAATTTTGCCTGGCACAATATGAATACTGTGTCTCTTATATACCTCTAAAATGTGAAAGAGAGACCAATATATATAGATTATGTATGAAAGGTCAATTGTAATGAGACTCTAGTATGGCAATATCAGTATATGTCATAGTTAATATAAACACACTTAGTCATATCAACAAGTCCTGTTGTTTTTTTATTCTAATGAAATATTATTTTTCCATTCAGAGAATCAAAATATTTTAAACAGGATATTGCAATTCACACAATTGGGTTAGAAATACATAAAACTGGATAAAATAAGAAAATAGAATTAGTTTCTTTTATTATTATTAGTTTAGTAAGGCTTGCCACATATTGTAAGGTTAATATATATTTGATAGACATCTTTTATTACATTTTAATGTAATATAATCTTTTACCCTTGTAATTTCACAATTCTTTGTGTGGTATTTCTAACTTACAATACTAAATGGTAAGTGAATGAGACTAACATATGCTATATAAATAAATATAATTATGTAAAAAATGTGTACTGTTCAAATACTGACAAATATTTATTTTAACTTAAGTAATTGAAAATTATTAAAAATACTTTTTCATTTGTCAAGAAATGCTACAAATGTACCTGGTAGCAATGATATCATTTAAATATAGTGTCAATAATATAATAATAATATGATCAATGATTATTGTTTTACATATGCTGGTAATGTGAGTACACTGCCACCATTTGCTACCTAACACTATGGTGACTCACCAAGTAACAAACAACTTTTATACTAGTTATAATAATTGTGCCATATGAACATTTATAACATATTTGTCATTTCTAACTGCATTTTTATAAAAATCATACAGTGGGTAGGTAAGTAAGTAAGTTCTAATATAATATACATGATTTGTAATACCCATTTCGTATGGCTTCCTTTAGGTATGAACACATTTAGCCCTATACTTAACAAGCAGATTGTCACAAAGCCAAATAAACAAACAATCCAAAAATAAGCAATCCATTGTTCTTTTCTAAGTCAATAAATCTTATGTAGATTAACTACCAAGATTTTTTTACATATAATTAATAGTTAGTGCGACCACGACAAAGTGGAGTAGCATAAATTAGTCATCTATGTATTCAATAATTTCAACATTAAAACAAAAACTGTGTCGAAGCTTCGGATTGCTAACGATTACGTGCAAATATAATAGAGTCCGACGGTTTCCAGTACGCGAAATCTGTTTAATAGAAAAAAACAATACAAGGACACAATTAAATTATTTGTTTACAATATTAAAGTTACACTTACCTGTTAAACAAAAGAGCGCGATAGAAATTAGACAAACAGCAAACGTGTTTGCCATTTTCACAGGCCACTTTAATATTCCCTCAATACGACTTCAGTCTCCGCGAATATCAGACTAAACAAATACCCGACAATTTCACTTCGTTTGGAATTTATTGCGTATTGATTGATAAATGAAACGAGTGTAGTCACTGTGAGTGACTGACGGAATGACATAAATGGTTACAAAAATGACAACTGGAGGTGACCTGATTAATGTCGCCAATTCTAAAAAGTGTCAAAGTATATTTCCGCGAATTTTCACATCGATATTATAGTGTTTTGTTTTCGTAATAAAATACTCAGAAAGTCATTATTTATAGTTAATCTATTATGCATTCTTTGTATTTTTAACACTTTTGAAAATACATTTGAAATTAAATTAAATATTGATAAGATCTGTGTGTTTAGATAACAGTCGCAGAATAACAATGTGTACACAAAACCAATGCAACTATTTTAAGTGAAACGATCAAGCTACAGACGAAACTAGCAGTCTTCCTTTGTTTTTGTTTTGTATGTCAGTAAAAAAGAAAAAAATATCTGTTGTTGTTTTGTATTTAATTTATTATATATTTAATTTAGCATTATAACACAGGTGTTTTCAGTCGAATTTATACATAGTTCGGTTCTATTTTTATGTATGAACAAGGGTTATAGCTTAAATTATTACACTTCTGTAAGTGTTGCAATAGTCCGCAACTCGAAGTTGAAGACTGACAGAGACTGACAGCTTGACTGTTTCGTTGCATTTGTTAAATTCGAAATAATGTTGGAAACTTCAAATGAAATCATTTCTACGGACTGTTTACAATATAGTTTCGCCATCTAATAATAGATGGCAGCATATTGGCACTGTTTTGGTATAGCTATTTGCCACTAGATAGCAGTAGTTTCTGTGTGCAGTACGTATCAATTAGAATAACTGAAGTAGTAAAAATAATAGTTTATATGTACCTACATAAATACTTAATTATTACTTGTTAACTACGCAGTTTCGTTGTAAAGTTATAAGAGGGGGAGGGAATTGTTAGTAATGGAAGTAATGGGTTAGCTATATTGAAACTGTCGTAGTTTACTCCTGCCTGTCCACTGGTACTCCTGCCAACGTATACCCGTTAGCTATTCTTATAGTATTATATTTATAATTATTCTTCAGGTGGGGCATCCGTGTTTTTGCCATTCTAATAAAAATAAAAAAAACTGTTAATTTCCATCAAACATTTTAACTAAGTCAAGCAATAATTTCAACAATTTCAAAGAACAATAATAAATATCCCGTGGATAATTCAATTCAGATCTTCAGTTATGGGTAGGTACTAGAAAACTGGTACAATTACTTAGATATTTTTTTTGTAAATACATACAAAATATACTTACATAGAAAACAACAAACTGATGCAAATAGTCATACCTACTCATGAATTTGACCGTGCTAGGAATTGAGCCTGCGACAGTAAGCAAAGTGGTGTATTAAACCACTAGACTACTGAGGCCGTGATGTTAATATCAATAAGTTCTCAAAGAAACCATGGTTTGCCGAAGGCAGAACTACAAAAGCTCTTGGTTTATTCCCAGTGAATTCGCCACAGTGGGCTACCACATTTGACACAGGTAGGCCAGAACACTTGCTTTAGAAAGAAAAGATAGTTATGGGAAATGTGAATCGAATAATATTGTTATGTAGTATAACTATAGATACAACCAGTGTAAAAAGTAGGCAGTTACTGGTGTAATTATTAGATTTTTGATTCATTCAGGCTCCTAATGGCCCATATAATAAATAGACTAACATATATCTATACAAATAAATAAAATTGTAGTGTCTGTTTGTAATATTGAAATAACAGTTTTTTTACTACATGCATATGAATATAAATACGGTATATACACCAAAAAACCACTTTTTACTATTTTTGTCTGTCTGTCTGTCGGTCTGTTTGTTCAGGCTAATTTCTGAAATGGATGGACCGTTTTATACGCGACTTTTTTTGGCAGGTAACTGATGTAATAAGAAGTAACTTAGGCTACTTTTATTTTAGAAAAATAAAGTTAAATTCCACGTGGACGAAGTCGCTGGTACAACTAGTATGAAATAATAAAATAAAATATAAATAAAATAATAAAATTGTCGTGTCACAGTTTTCGTTCCCATACTCCTCCGAAATGGCTTGACCGATTCTCATGAAATTTTGTGAGCGTATTGAGTAGGTCTGAGAATCGGCCAACATCTATTTTTTATCCCCCTAAATGTTAGGGGTAGTCCACCCCTAAATATTTTTTATTTATTTTAAGGCTAAACAACGTTTGTCGGGACAGCTAGTATAGTTATAAATGTGTCTATCTGTGATATTACAGCTGCCTATCTATTTGATAGCTGACGTGATCGGAATAGGTCTTAACTTCTTCAAAATGTTTTTTCAATGTATAATGTATGAAAATCAGTGTATCTATTCTAGCCTTTAATCTCCATATTAATTTCAATCCATTTTTATTATTTGATATAACAATGTCAATGAGGTATAAAGAGGTATTTTTTATATGGAATTAATACAATAATTTTCTAGTTTATACGGCCGTTTAGTCGTAAGGAATAAGGACGCATTCATTTACTAATTGTCTAACGAATTTAAGCAAAGTATTATATGATATTTAGGATTTTTTTAAATTTTAATTTAGTTCTATGTACTTTTAATGTTTATTATATCGTAACCCCGAATCAAAAAGAGGGGTCTTATAATTTGACTGTGAACCTGTGGGTTTGTTTGGATTGTTTGGATAGTTTTTAGTTTGGAAGCCGACGTCATCCAATCCCTTAATTAGCAAAATATTGGTAAAAAATATCTCATAATAAGTACTTAGAATACCATATTTGGCCTAGTAACATGCAAATATATTAACTGTATATTAAATCGCCCCGGCTTCGCACGGATGTACATGTATTATATACATAAACCTTCCTCTTGACTCACTACTCTGAAATCCATTGCGTAGTTTTAAAGATTTAAGCATATATAGGGACCGACAGACAGCGACAGCGATTTTCTTTTTATGCTATGTAATAATCTTAAAACTTAAAACTTGTTGTCATTATAATCAGTGACGGAATAAATACGCTTTAGTAATTAAAAAAGAGACTTTAGTGCACTCTTAAATTTACACAGGTCAACAAGATCTTTAATAACGGACTGAAGCTTGTTATATAGTCGTGGAGCCATTACATTATGCTTTTTAAAATCTTTTTACAATGTCAATCGAAGTACGATGGTGCACGACGCTGGTCTATAAAAAGTATAGGTAGGTAAGATAATATTTCTTAGTAAAAGGTATTAATTAAACCCACTATTCTCTTATACCTAGACGGCTATTAATTCTATTAATTACAAGTTTTGGTGTAATTGGGAAACATATTTATAGAACTATATAATACGGAGATATATCGTCAGATTCGACATCTCATAAGGCGTCCATCGAACGAGCGCACCGGGGATGTCGAAACAAAATTGGTATTTCTGTTACACGTCGGTTTTTCCTTAGACACAATTAGGAGGTTTCCTCTGGGAGACTAGTCCCGTAATAAAATTAAGAACGCCTCGGGCGGACGGTCGCGGTAAGTCGAAGTCTTCTGTGGGCATAAAACAAATCCGACCGCACCATAAGGACTCCGCCTTACGAATCTATGGAGACTATTCTAAATGATTCTTTTCGATTAACATGTGTATTCTGTATACAAATATTATAAAGACTCAATGATAAAAAATATATTTTGACGACTGTATTACGGAGGAGTCAAAGGTTCTGGTTTGAGGTCTGAGGTTATAAATTGCTAGGACAGGATAATATCCTGTCAATTATTTCTTCTATATAATTAGAGTAGCTTTTAAAATTTTACTATAATACAGTATAATTCACTTCGTACTTATGTTTTTTTGTATAATTGGAATTATAAAGTAGGTTACGTCAGCAGTGAGCATCGCCTATGTTCATGAAAGGCGCTACGGACATCACGTTATCCTGTGACATACTTGGTACTACTATTCATGCGTTGCCATTACAGAGGATAAAGATATTTTCCCTTTTACCCCTTAATTTCACTGCCTAATGTAAACTAATGCCTAACTGCCTAAATAAATAAATAAATGTGCTTTCTACGACCGAAACACTGCTTACAAACTACTTTTCACATTCTACATCTCATGCGTAGCACTAAAAGTATATATTAACTAGTTATTTTTACTTGCCTTATTGGAATAACTCTATAACCCTAGTTGACATAAACAGATTTATTTATTTACTAGTTTTTTACAGTAACGCATAAATAATAAGATTTATGTGTCTATATATTTGTATATATTTTTAAAACAAGCCTAATATTGCTTTCCTGTGTTTATCCAATTGAGCTAATAATCGCAATTGCAAGTTTGTATAATAACGTACTAGTGACTTAAAAGAATTTAAAATATAACACGCATTTTCGACTCTACATCGCTGCTGTTCTCACGTGTGCTATGTTCACATATTCTGAATAACACTTCAATACGGCGTGTAGCAACGCATTGGACAGTGTCTTACCATAACCACAGGCGTGACCTGACTACTGAAACCAAGCTTTCGAAAGAGTTAATTTTTTAAGTCTATTCTCTTGCACTTCTGGTAATATATGTACGTGTATTAACTATACTGCTAGTATTGAATACTGTCTTGACATAATGGTCGTAGGAAATTTGTAGTGATGTACCTGTAAACTGATGTTGTTCGTTTTACAGTAGCTCCGTATTTTCTTTCTATTGGGTATACAAGCTTTACACTTATAGCGTATTGCCAAGGGACGTAAACATATATTATATATATTATATGATCTTATGAATTTTTGTAAATTATTGGAAGAGAATATTATCGTTAAACTCCCATGTATGACAAATTATTAAATTTAAATTTTTAATGTTACTATAAGGAACTTAATCGAAAAAAATCAATCGAAAATAATGAGAATAAAAGCAAAAACTGTCAATGGTAAAACGCAGTACCAAACCATATAGGTATTATTATGTCCATGAATGCTATCAATTGTTATCTTATCGCTTAGGTAACTAACTTTATATACCAAAATTGGATTCTACGATAGTAGGTGGGTACCTAATTAACGGCTAT